TCTCTCTCTCTCTCTCTCAAGACAGGGTTTCTCTGTGTAGCTTTGGAGCCTATCCTGGACTTGCTCTGGAGACCAGGCTGACCTCGAACTCACAGAGATCCACCTGCCTCTGCCTCTGGAGTTCTGGGATTAAAGGCGTGCGCCATCAACACCCAGCTTGGAAGGAAATGTTTAGCATCTCTGATAGCACTCCTGGGGCTCAGAGGACTTGACTTTAATTTCTGTGCCCTCACTTTCTTCCCTTCAGTAGAGGTCTGAGTTTATTGTGTCAAAGCTGAGTGTCAGAGTCAGAGGAGAAATGGGATGATATGTGTGTGCCTATATCAGACTTCTCTTCGTGTTAGTTTGTTGTAACATATGTGTTTGATTACTATATAGCATCATTCTATTTACTTACTATTTGCACTTGCACTGAAGGAGAGCTTATTAACATTTTGTATTCTGAGAAATGTGAAAATGTTTTTTGGTTTTTTTCCCAGAGAACTTTAACCAAATGTACACTTCCCATTATTATAATAACTTGTGCTTATTTACTGACCTAAATAAATTCCCAGAGGTAGAATGTGTCTCTTAGTAAGATTTCTGACACATACTATCCAATTACTTTTCAGAATTTATACATTTATATGTTTAGTCTTAGTGTCCTGAACTGCAAATGACTTCTGGCTTTTGTCAGTATTATCAGCACTTTTGCTGTTGTTGAATCTAAGTGGATGCAAAGTGATATTTTAAAACTCTATTTCTGTAATAATTGAGGCTGATCCCCCCCATATTTTAGTTTTTGTTGTAAATTGAGATTGTGTGTCTTTAGATTTATTTTATGTGTCTGAGTGTTTTGCATGCATGTATGTATGTGTGCCATGTGCATGCCTGATGCCCAAGGTGGTCAGAAGAGGGGGTTGGATCTCCTGGAACTGGAGTTACAGATGGTTTTGTGTGCAGCATGAGTGCAGCATGTGTGTTCTGGGAACCAAACCTAGGTCCTTTGCAAGAGCAACATGCTTCTGGGCCATCTCTCTAACCACATAAGTTTAGATTTTATTTTTGTTAGAGCTGTGCACCAATGTAACAGTGTACCAGTGTATAATATTCCCTTTGGAAACAATTGACTTGCCTTCTCAGTTGGAATGACCACTCTGCATCACCTAGACTGATTTCATTCTCTGTTTACTTCCCTGTGCTAAGTGATATGCCATAATACTGCTGCTTCCCACTTCTTCAGTTTCCAGTGTTAGCTTTGTTTTCCTACTCTGGTGAGTGCCCTGGACTCACCTCTGCCACACACGGCCCTTCATTCTTCCCTATCTTTAACTTCACTCCCACCTATGTCTCCCCATGAATTCCTGTTTCCAAGGTGCATTAGTCAGTTGTCCTATCACTGAGAAAATGCCGCTGATAAACAACTTCAAAGGGACATTTATTTTGGCTTACCGTTTTTTAAATCTCAGTTTGTGATTGGTTCGATGGCTACACTGTTGTTGACTTATGGCAACATCATGGTTGAAGGATATGTTAGAGCAAAGAGAGAAAGAGCAAGAAGAAGGGTCCTGGGACAAGATAGACAATTTAAAAGCATGTGCAGTGGCCTATGAGTAGGCCCCACCTCCTAAAAACAATGAGTTCACATTGAGCTGTGAACTCATCAGAACTAATCTTTGGGTGAGGTTAATGTCCTCCTGATCCATTCACTTCTTAGTGGTTCACTCAACCAGGAACCAAGCTTTCACACGTGTTTGAAGTACAATTCATATTAAAACCATAGTGATTGACCTTTAGGGGAGGGGTTTCAAGAGTCCTTAAGTTGTCATAGCAATAGGATTTTAGGGGAAAATGGATATGTATGTTCTATCTGTCATCTTTTTTGTGTGTGTGCTTTGAATTGTTTTTGTGAAATAGTGGTTAAAGTTGAGGATTATACAATTAGGATTGTCTGGTTTTGATTTTGAGCTTTTAATTTTTACTGGCTTCGTGGCATTGGGCAATCTGTTTGATATTGCTAAGCCTCATGTATGATTGCTTATGATTGGCACAGGGTTAATAATGATACTTGTCTTATAGTGCTGTGAGAATTTGTAGCAAGGCCTGTTAAAGAGCTCCACGCAGTGTCTTGCTATCTGCTAGCACTCAAAGCACAGCTATAGCTGCTGTCTTACTGTTGCTCTTGTGAATTTCTTGTTCTTGATGCTTGCCCAGGCTCTTTATTTAAACAATGTTGTCTTTTATCCTTGATTGTCAAACCTTTTACACAATCTATCTATCTGTCTATCATGTATCCACCTATCTGTTCCTGTGATGAAACAGATCAAAACCAGTTTGTGGATGACAGTGTTTATTTCCATGTCACTGTTTGTGTCACTGAGGGAAGTAAGGGCAGGAACTGAAGTAGAGACCACAGGAGAAGTGCTGCTTACTGGCTTGCTCTCTGGCTAGTTCAGCTTGCTCTTTTATACAACCCAGGCCCAGAGGTAAAATTTCCTACAATGGCTGGCCCCTCCCATACCAATCATTAATTAAGAAAATGCCCACAGATAGCAAACTGATCAGCTGGAGACTATTTCTCAATTGAGAGCCCCTCTTCAGGGTATCTCTAATTTATGTCAAATTAACAAAACAAAATACCAAGTCAGCATAGTCCTCTAGTTGTTTTTGGGTCAGAATGTTTTATCACAGCAATAGATAACTTACACATTTTATTTTTAAGCAAACATAAAATAATGTTCTCTATGGCTCTTCGTAACCGTAGTGCTACTGGTCCTTTCTCTCCCTCTCCCCCTGCCTTGCCTTGGCTCGATGCTTACTTCCCAGTGAAATCCTTCCCCCCTTTTATCTGAAAACTTAAGAGCTTTCCATTTCAGTTTCTATTCCTATTTCTATGAAATTTTAAATTTAGAGTTGATTTTTAAGTGCTGTATTAGTTACTTTTCCTTGTCACTGTGGGCAAATACACCTAACACAAACAGTGTGAGGAGAGACATGTTTATTTTGGCTTTTGGGTTCTAGGGAATGGCTAGGAAGGCAGGGTGGCAGGAACATGTCGCAGGGCCTACACAAATGGTGCTAAACCAGCAAGCAGAGAGAGGGGCTATGCTGGGCTCTGTTGTCATCTGCCAGTCAAGGTTTTGTATCCTAAAGGGTCTAGTTTCCCAAAACAGTACCACCACCTCAAGACCAGATACTGAAACATGGAGGGGGTGGGGTGGGGGGCATCTCATTGAAATTAAGACCACAGCAGGGTCGTAGATTTGTGATCTTGTGACGTGTTTGCTTTGAGTTTATACATAGTATTTAAGTGATAGAATGGTTAGTATTCTAAAACTGCACCTAACTCATTTTGATTTTATTACTTTTTCATTGTAGGCAATATTGCTTTTATGTTTTATTAGTCTTATGACTAACTTTATTATTCTCAGGATAACAGCCCATCTAAATTTGATCTCTCCACAGATACGGACCAGGATGTAGCACTCAAACTTGCTCAGGAACGAGCTGAAATAGTTGCTAAATATGACAGAGTAAGTATCTATATTTATTCTTTGAGTAGGTTTTTATTAAAAAATCCATATAAATAGAAAAGGGCTTGCTTTTTGGACAGCTGAAATAACAAGGAGTTTGTTTCCTTTGTGAGAACATTGAGTTCAACTCCTTTTTCCTCTGTTTCTGTGAATTCTCTCTCTCCTTTTTGCCTTCCTTCCCTTTAGCTGTTTTCCCAGACTTGTCTGGCCAGCTGGCCGGCCACTATACTTATACACTGGCTGTTTCCTCATGCAGTTCTTGTCTCCTGTCCTCTGGAGACCCCACTGCCCACTCCTTTCACATCTCAGACCCGTCCTTCTTGAATGCCTGTCACCCGCTGGCACTCTCTGTTTCATCCTAACACTACTTACATCAGTGTGAGATATATTTTGCTTGTTGTCTGCTCTTCCTTTTATACTCTGTGGGGTCAGGGTTTATTTTGTTTGATTTATTCCTGTAAGCTAAATACCTGGAACAATTTTTTACTTATGGCAGCTATTAAATACTTGAGAGAGTGGATATGTACAATTAAATTTTCTTATAGAATAGTTTTTATATGTACTCTATGAATTTGTTGTGAATCTCAGATTCTTGTATTTATGTTTCCTATAAATTTAAACTAGCACTTGACCTGATTGTCAGAATGAAATCTATTTTTTCATTTTCTGATATATTTTAATTCTTTGAGAATTTCATACATGTATACAATGTGTTTTTATCATATTCATTCCTATTCCTCTAACTTCTCCCACTCAGCACCTCTTATTCCTATGCCCAACTTCCTTCCTTCCTTCCTTCCTTCCTTCCTTCCTTCCTTCCTTCCTTCCTTCCTTCCTTCCCTCCCTCCCTCCCTCACCGAATCCAATTTGTGTTGCCCATATACACATGGCTGTGCACCCATCTAGTGGAACATGCTCAGCCTACCAGGGACCACACCTCTTAGGAAACTGGCTCTTTCTTTCCTGGCATCTGTCACCTGTCAGTAGCTCCTTAGCTCAGGATGGAGGCTTGTGATCCACTCCCTCTCCATGCTGGAATGTTGATTGGCTGAATGTTATGCAGACAGCCACAACTGCTGTGGACTCTTGAGTACACTTTTTTATCCTGTTCCTCCTTGACCTCTGGCTCTAACAGCCTTTTGGCCCCTTCTTCCGCAATGTTCATGTACCTTGGAGGAGAACAGGTGTGATATAGATAGCTGATTGACGCTTGAGCATCCCTCAAACACTTACCGGCTGCATTTTGACCAATAATGAGTTTGTGCATTGGTAGCTGAACAGAAGGAAGCTTCTCTGATGAGAACTGAAGCTGCACTCATCTGTGGGTATAGAGAGATATGGATGTAGAAGGCAGTTTGATACTGTGTCTTTTAGTAAAGTAATGGTATTAGGTTTACCCCTGGGGCACATGAACTGCCCCAGCTGTGGGTCTTAGTCAGATTTGCTTTATCAGACATGTGTTTCTTTCTGTGAAGTGGGCCTGAAATACAATTAGAAAGTAGTTGATCACCCTTGTCTTGATTATCTTAATTGGCCAACTTGACACAGTCCAGAATTACCGGCGAGAAGCCTTAATTGAGGAATGGTATAATCAGGTTCAGGTTGGTCTGTGAGGGATTATTCAATTGTTAATTGATATAGGAGTGTCCATCCCATTGTGGGTGGTACCATTCCTCAGGTGGTGGTCCTAGGCCATATAAAAATAGTTAAACCAGAAATCGAGTCAGTAGCCAGCTTTCTTTCATAATTCATGCCTTGAGTTCCTACCCTCACCCACCTTCAGTGATGCTTGTGTCCTGCAGATGTAAGCTAGGACTTCCCATAACACTCCTGCCACTATTGCATTCATGGGCACATATTGCCAGGCTGGTCGTCATTGTAGCTTTCAGAGTTACAGCTGGATCGGACTGCTGATCTCATTTCCTTCTCTAGCCTACATAGCACTTCCTGTTTCTAAGAAAGCTAGCCAACAGGGAGATGTTTATAAAACAGCAGATTTCTTTATGGCCCTTATAGACATCCTGAGTGTTGGTTGTCCCCTCCTCTCTGTTTTACCCTCCTATCCCCTTTCCCACTTAAACCTTCCTCCTCCCCTTTCTCCTTTTGTATCACCTTATCATGAATCTTTCTTGGTTTCGATGTAAAAGATTATCAACAATTTGTTATCAATAATTTCTCCTTATTTGTCTCTTTTAATGGATCATAACATTTATTTGTAGGTGCCATGTTCTACATCTGCATCACTTGAACTTGTGTATCTTCTTTTTAATATATATTTTGTGAGGTTAATAGGAACATGAAATTATAAATAACTGCCTGGCCTGTGCCCTTCCTTCAGGGAAGCACTCAGGCCGTATTCAGTCTTGTTCCCAGAGTTCCCAATGCATTGGCTAGTTGTCATTATCATCCATGAAAAACCTAGATAACTAGTTAACTTTGTAGCTAATGTAGAATAAGCAAGTAGTACTGTTTATTCATACCTGCAGTCACCTCTCCCCACTACCCATCTGCTCACCCATATGTAGTTATCCCAAGGTAGAACCTGGGAACACTTTTCATAATCTAGGAGCAGACATTTTAAAATACACCTAAAGGGAAGTGTCTACAAGTCTAAAATTTGAATACATTGTATTTGGGGGTCCTAAAATCATCACTATGAGTAAGTGATACCAAGAGTATTTAGAATGGTGAACTGAGGAAAGAATTGTGGGAACACCAGCAGTTAAGAGTTACCTATGAAAGCAATCATCAGAGAGTTGGGGTGCATGAAGAGAACTGCAAGGGATCAGCAGGGGACAGTGCTATGCAAGTGGGGAGGATAGAGAGCACAAGAGCCATTGCCAAGTAGTCCTTAAATGTTCAGTACTGCAGACAAGTCGGCCTCTCTCTCTCTCTCTCTCTCTCTCTCTCTCTCTCTTCCCTCCTTCCCTCCTCCTCCTCTTCCTCCTCCCCCTCCTCCTTCTTCTTCCTCCTCCTCCTCCTCTTCCCCCCTCCTCCTCCTTCTTCCTTCCTTTCTTGTTGTTTGGAGAGAGGGTCTTGCTATGAGGTTCTACCCAGCCTGACTGGAACTCACTGTGTAGAGCAGGCTGGCCTTGAACTCATAGAGACCCACTTGCCTATACCTACTGTGTGCTGGGATTAAATGCATGTCCTACCACACCCATTTGGGAGTCATTTTTTATTTTAGCAATAAGTGGGTTCAGGGCCGGTGTAATTGGGAACAAAGCAGTGAAAAAACACAATGTACATTGCCTTCTGTGAGAGGGTTGTTGAAAGGTCTGTTCTAGATAATTCACTTTAAAACTTAAGGTTTGTCAGTTTCTCTTGCAGTAGCTTTTGTGTCCTCAATGACTCCTCTCAGGATATATTTTGATGAAAAAGCAGCTATGTTAGCTCTTGCTGACACAGTACCTTCCATAGCTAATAACTAAGGAACAGTGATTACATGGCCAAAAATAGTTTAGTTAAAGAATACTCATGTTTGATATGTCTCAGTAACATACTTGGTATTATAAATTCCAAATAACTCCTCTTGTCATCTTTTGTTTTAGGGACGAGAAGGTGCAGAAATTGAGCCTTGGGAAGACGCTGATTATCTTGTTTACAAAGTCACTGATAGATTTGGCTTTTTACAGTAAGTCACACAGGTTGAAAGCTGTTGTTTTTCAGTTACAATCTTTTCTATGGTTATCTGTTATTAAATTTAGAATTTTTCTAAGACTCCAGGAGTGCTCTAGTATACCTTTTGGTTCCTATCATTTTTTACTACTGTGGCTAAAATTGAGCTATAGTTAAGAATATAACCTTTATATCTTTTGTGTTTTGTAAAGAGCACAGTAAATGTGTAAAATGAGTTGTATTAATAATTTAGCAGAGTTAATACACATGGATAACATTTTATATTCTTAAAATAATTATAAAACATTTAATTCTATAAAGATGAATTTTTAAAACAAGTAGCAATTAGAAAATGAGTATTGCCTAAAAATGAACAGTGAAAAAAATGTCATTGATCTTCCTTATAGTTGTAAATGTAATCATGATATTGCTTCTCAAAATTAACTCTATTTATCCTGACTATGGTCTATAAAGACGAGAGAGAGGACTAGACTACTATAAAGTAATTCAGTTACAGGATTTTGACTGCTAAAAATATCCTGCAAACTGATGTCAATCTGCTTGTTTAGGTCCTAGTGTTAGGTAAATTGGTGTGTCTGTTAGCAGTGTGTATTCTTTTTGTCTGTCAGCTGGCTTCTCATCAGTGAATGATTTTATATTTCATCTAGAGAAAAGAATAAAAATTACCTTATATATTATATGTTGAGGCTTTGAAGAAATCAAGTGTAGGAATATTTCATAAAGCTCTTATTATGCTTAGAGATGGTACCTATCCAAATTTTTCTCCTGGGTAGTTATAATCTGAAGACTTTGAGCTTCAATAGGCAAGAGAGTAGTGCTTACAATGGAATTTCTCTCCTCAACCCCCTGCCACATTGTTTTTATCTCTCCCCCTTTTTTTCTTCCACTTCCCTTTTCTCCTACCTTTCCTCATCACTATCAAACATAGCCACAACTCTGATGGGAAGCCATTGTACATTTATGTGAGTCAAGTGCAGAACTGGGATGTGATCAAATTTTGAAGTACAATTTGTTCATGAAGACTCTTAAGCTCAGTGGGTCACAGATTTGTCTGCATATTAGAATCAATTGAAAAAAGATTTCTGGATTCTGTACTAGATTTTGATTCAGAAGATGGGATGTAATCAGTTCATTTTGACCATTCCATCCATATGGTAATGTGTTTTTTAGAATTATAGTATAGTTCAGATAGCATCTGAAAAATCCATGTATTCCAAGAGGGTCTGTTAATTACCTAAATTTTCTTTCTTGCCAGTTGAAACAAATTTAAGTGTTATAAACAAATATGTTCTTGCCCAACAGCCTAACTTACATTTGTCAGTTGGAAAGTTGTAGTCGGATTATTTATTTATTTATTTTTGTTTTTTCCCTGTTTGTTTTTATTTTATTTTTTTAACTTTGGGCTGAGGTGGAGTCATTTGTGGTGGGGAAAATGTCAACTGATAAGTTACCTTATAGTATTAGTTACTGCTCATTGAGCACTTTGTGTGTCTAGCAGGGTTCTAAATATTTATTCCTTCAAAACATCTTTGGGGTGAGTTCTTTTTCTCTAGTTTTTAGATGGTTCAAAGAGCTCAAATAAATTGCCTCAGGTTTATTGACAGTGTCAGCTCCTAGGATGGGGGTCTAGGATAGGTTTCACTCCAGAGCCATGTTCTGAATTGCTGCAGAGTACTGCCTTGTTTTGATTTAGTGAGAGAAATACAGGGTAAGTGCTTTGAGATACCTACAGAGGAGACCAAAATGGCTACTTCCATAGACATACCTACTAAGATAACAAAGGTCACCATATTTTTTTAAAATGAGACTGATTGGTATTGGTACTCATGATGTTGCTCGTTAAAAACATAAACAAAAACAAACAAACAAACCCCAGCCTGCTTTATGCTGTAGTCTCCAAACAGAAGCCCAAATGAAAACGATGAGGCAGAAGAGTGGATTCCAGTGTGACATTAGGCTTTATCAGTTGACTTTTGTGACAGGGCCTATTGTCAGCAAAGCACTTCCCCCAGCGTTTGCTGTGGGTGGCTTTTATTGCTTGCCCCACAGTAAGATGGGACTTTATCTATCGGACTGTTGGATAATGTTTTTGCTGTAAGCATCCAGATATTACTTTGTCTCACACCTGATTAAAAGAGCACCTCTCCTGTCTTAAGCTATGTGTAAATCTTGATTGCTGCTGCAATTGAAATTAGATTTTAAATTCATTGTCAATACAATAGAAAGAACAACCTCCGAGCCTTCTCTGGATATTGTTGAGTTCATATCTAGATATAGCTTTAGAAACTTAAAGTCTTTGTTATGACATATAAAGGAGTAACAATAATTAACACAGTATAGATTGACTTGGTTTGATAATAGCATTCACAGTACGTACAAATGTAATTGGCAAGCCAGCCTGTGGTGGAGTTAGAGCTGCAGAGTGGACAAGTTGACCTTGCTTAAGTGGTTGTAGAACTTTAAATGTTTTCATCAGAACTAGCTACCACAGCTCTGCTGGACAAAGAATGCTTGGTATTTGGATAATGATAAATAATGCTTTTAGGTCACAAGTTTTTAATAGGAGAAAGAATTAAAAGGAAGCTGAACCAAAAATAGAGGAGATCAAATTAACACTGAGCATCAGATGCTCAACTACTTACTCAAATTTGTATATTTATAAAATGTAGTGGACTGTCCATAATTTCCCATGCTTTTATAGATCCGCAGGAGCTTACTACTCTGTAGTAAAGATGCTCTTGTTATCAAGATTATCCATTTTGATTAGAAAGGTTTGAGAACTCTTTTATCAGTCTTACATATAGTCAATATATTCCACCTGATTTTAACTATTTTAACAAATTAGGTTTCCAAGTGAATGTTTATTCACATTTACAGAAATATTCCTGTGAATTGTTGAGAAACGACACACACTTACTTAATAATACATTTAAAACCTAATCCAGATGAAAAACATGCCAGCTCAAGTGTTTGTCTTTCTTCTGATGACTGCTGTATTTACTTACTGTTTATATGGAAGGGCTGAGTGTTGTCTCTGGGCAGTCAGTCCTCAGGTGTCTGCAGGGCCTAGTCTCTAAAGCAGTGGTTTTTAACTAGTAGGTTGTGACTACTACAGGGGTGTGAATATTAGGAATCCTATATTTGCATTACAATTAATAATAGTAGCAAAATTACAGTTATGAAGTAGTAATGATGTAATTTTATGATTGGGGGCTCACCTCAATAAGAGAAACTGTTTTAAAGGGTTGCAGCATTAGGAAGGTTGAGATCCTAATCCTACCTGTCCCTTGCTCTAACGCAAGGGACAGGTAGTAGTTATGTGTTACCAAGAGCCAGGTACTAAGTGCTTTTGGATTTGTAGACCATGTGACCTTGTCATGACTCAGTTCTGCTGCTGTAGTGTGAAAATGACCCCAGACAGTGTCTAAATGAGTAAGAATGACAGTGCCCCCATAAAAACAAAAACAAACAAACAAACAAAAAAACTTTATTTACAAAAATAGACAGCAAGATTTGACCTGTGTGGACTGTGGTTTGCTGACCTGAAGGAATACTCATCTGTATATTCCAGACTGTGCTCTTTCATCTTTTCTACTTGAAGGTGACTTAGGTAGCAAGATACAGATTATTGGAGCCTGTGTGGTGGTGCATGCATTTAATCCCAGAACTTGAGAGACAGAGGCAGGCCAACCTGATCTACAGAGTGAGCTTGAGGTCAGCCAGGATTAAACAGAGAAACTTGTCTTGAAAAGGAAGGAAGGAAGGAAGGAAGGAAGGAAGGAAGGAAGGAAGGAAGGAAGGAAGGAAGGAAGGAAGGAAGAGGCGAGGGAAGGAGGGGGAGAGGGTTGGAGAGAGGAGGGAAGGGAGAAAAGAAGAAGATACAGATTTTTGGTTTAAGCAAACATGACTTATGGTACACATCTGTTTAGCACATTCACTGACTACCTTGACCCCCCCAGTGAATGTTCTGGAAACACATGGGGCTCTTAGTGAGGCACGTCTTCTATTCACAGGTGGCTGTGAGCCTCAGCATATGCCAGCCCATAGACTTGAGGAGGGCAAGGTCTGTGAACACAACAGGTTCCACATGGAAAGTTTTATGTGTAAGATATGAGGACCCAAACTTGCTGTCTCCATATTAGAGCTGAAGACTATATTCAGTCTTTAGAATTTCTGTTTTTCTGAGAGCTATTTCCTTAGCCCATGCCCTGCTTTGTACATTCTGGCAATAGCTGAAGGTTATTTAAGTGCTCTGAATTATGCTGAATCAAATATTTCTGTGTTAGGCTAAATGACTTATTGAAAATGGTTATTTTCTTATCTATGAAAAGAGGGATTTGGGTTTTCTCTTTAAATTCTCTTTTGGCTTTTATACCATTTTTGTCTGTTTCATTGCTATGGCTAAATGGTTCATCTAAGGACTTTTCAGAGAAGCAAAGAATGACATAGAAAATGCTAGCTCTTGAATAATAATCTGTCATGTTCTTAAAAGTCATGCCACTTGATCTCAAGAGGAAACAGAAGGAAGAATATGCATGTGTTGTTGCCAAAACATCCATGCTATTGAGAAAGTTGCTGAAATTAGCTTTGTTTATATGAAAAACTTTATTACTGACAGTTAATATAAGACTCTCAGGATATTTTAGCATTAGAGGTGATAGCATACATGAACCAGAGAAATGTTTTTTTTCTTTTTTTTTTTTTTAAAGCTTTATTTGTTATGTATAAAATGTTCTGCCAGCATGTTTGCCTGCATGACAGAAGAGGGCACCAGATCTCATTATAGATAGTTGTGAGCCACCATGTGGTTGCTGGGAATTGAACTCATGACCTCTGGAAGAATAGCCAGTGCTTTTAAACTACTGAGCCATATCTTCAGCCTGGTTTTGTTCTTTTGTATATTAAAAATGTTCTGTTGAAGCTGGGCAGTGGTGGCAAATACCTTTATCCCAGGATTCAGAAGGCAGAGGCAGGCTGATCTCCATGAGTTTGAGGCCAGCTTGGTCTACAAAGCTACAGAGAGAAACCCTGTCTCAGGGAAAAAAAAAAAAAAAGAAAAAAAAAGTTCTGTTGAAGTTTTGACAGTAAAGCTTAATTTTACAGACTAAAAGTGGAAGTTTTCTTTTAATTTACAAGTCCATTTGAATTGAAGCCAGTTGTTCTTTTTCTTGTCCTTTTTTTTTTTTTTTAATATTGGTAATTAAACCTAGGATCCCACTCTTGCCAGGCACATACCAGACCCTACCCCTGAATTACATCTTCAGCCTTCATGTGTATTTGTATGGTGTGCATGAGTGTGTGCACACACACTCAGGACATGTATGGGTTCATGTGTATAGATGTTTTTGTATGTAGAGGCCAGAGGTCAACCTTGGGTGTTTCTCAGAAGCCATCAAACTGAATTTTTTGGGGGGGGTATAGGTTTCTCATTGTACCTTAGGGCTTGCCAACTAGACTAGGCCGGCTGGCCACCACACCTCAGAAATCTGCCTCTGCCTCCCTAGTGAATGCCACCATGCTGCGCATGGTGCTCACCTGATCGTTTGTGTGTTTATAAGGATTGAGCTCAGGTACTCGTGCTTGCATAGCAAGCACTTTACAAACTGAACCATCTTTTCTGGTCCCACAATCCTCATTTTACTATTTTATTTTGAGATGGGCACTAAGTTGCCCAGGCAGGCTTTGAACTCACCAAAACCCAGGAAGGTGTTGAATTTGATATTTTTCTTCTACTTGGCCTCTTGATTAGCTAGTGTTTCAGTCCTTTTCCTCCAGGCCTGGCTCCATTTTTTTCTTCATGCAAAAATTTAAACAGTGGTTTATTTTAGGTAGTAGTTGGATCCAAGAGTGAAAGTGACAGTCTAGGGCACAGGCTGGCAGACTGACCTATGTATCAAGGCCAAAGCTAGTTTACCACTTGGTTCTGTAGCAGCTCTGTAGAGCTTAGTTTCCCATCGTCTGTGAGTGCTATATACATACATACTACTACACTAGAGTCCAAGTAGTTGTGAGAAAGAGTAAATCTTTTTAGGCTTTGTGAATCACATACTATTTACTGTGACTGGAGTTGCTGACCCCTGGTCTAGGGCAGTGTTCACCAGCAGAATTTTTTTTTACCATGATAGAGATGTTCAGCGTGGCGGCCACTAGATAGCTACATGACTTTTATGTAGTCAGATTGTGGCTAGTGAGACTTACTTCAAATTGCTCACTGTAGGATAGTCATTACTGTGTTTAAAGATGAGGGATGTTGTTATTATAGACCAGTCATTTTCTTTTGAATTTGGTGGAATGGAAACATGAAACGCATCTCTTATAGTGACATATTACATATGATACATGCCTGTAGGATATACTTAGTAAAAATCTGCTCTGATTTCAACCATTTCATTTATGTTGTTATTCTCTACAGTGAGGAAGAGCTCCCATATCACAATGCAACTGCTGACCGGGTAAGTGTGGTTCTTTGTTTATTTGTAGTCATTGATGAATTGCCTCTAGAGGAACAGAATCTTTTTGTGATTTTTGAGTGCTGTATTGTATGTAGCTGGCATTGTTAGAATTTGTATTGCTCTTAAGAAAGGAATTAAAATTGCTCATCCCCAGCTTGACCATTCTACCTGTAGGAAACACTTCTCTGTGTCAGGAATTCCCATCCACCCATCCATCCACCCAACCACTCACCAACCCAACCATCCATCTTGTGTGTGTGTGTGTGTGTGTGTGTGTGCGCGCGCGCGTGCGCGCGTGCACGGGAGAGGGGCAGTTGTTTGCGTTTTCTCTGTCTCATTTTTGTTAGTTCTTTGAAAAGTACACACAGTGTATTTTTGTCTCCTCCTTCCATACCCATTCAACTTTGTGTCCTTTGTTTTTAAACCCATCAAGTACAATTTGTGCTGCCCAGATACTCTTGAATGGGTGGCCTTCACTGAAGAGGGGTCAACCCTTAAAGAAAATTGACTCTTCCTCTCCCAACCACTACCAGCTGCCAATAGCTTCTTAACTAGGGATGTGGCTTCTGCTTACCTCCCTTCTCCATTCTGAAAATTTGTCAGGCTTGAGTCTGTGCAGATCTTATGCATGCTGTCACAGCTGTTGTGAGCTCATATATACGACAATTGCTCTGCAGTGCCCAGAAAACAGTTTCCTTGTAATATCTACTGGCTCTGTCTCTGAGCCTAGGAGGAGAGGATGTGGTGTAGATGTCCCCTTGTGGACTGAGCATTTCACAGTCCCTTATTCTCCACACCTGAACAGTTGTGAGTCTGTGTTAATCACCATCCTCTGTTAAAAGAAGCTTCTCTGATGAGATTTGGCAGTTAGACTCATTTATGGATGTGACAGTAAGTTGTTAGGAGTAAGGCATCCCAAGTGATCATTTTGTACCCTCTGGATAGTAAAGTAAAGCACCATTCTAGACCAGTAGGTCCATAGAAAGTAACTGTCCATGAGTTTTTAATCCAACTTCCCACAAGTAATGACTAGAACATTTCTTATTGTCAGTTAACTAAAGCCGAACGAAATGTGGGATCAGAACTAGATTGATAACAGATAGTTTATTAAGAAAGTACTCTCGAAATGGAGCCAGTGACCAGGTTTACACTGGATGCCTGCTCGTTCACCCAGCCAGCCGGGAGAGTGAAAAAGAGAGGGCTGAATGTATGCCTCTCTGATAGTTAAACCCCTGTTATATCACTGTGATCACGCCCGAGTGGTCAGCGGCACCTATGTCAGCCCCAAGCAGCTTGGCATTTCTCCCTACAATTCCTCTTTTAGTCTAAAGAGGATTTAAACTTGACTGTAAATTATCCATAATTCACAATCATAAAAATGAATTATAAGAAGTTATAATAATCTACTAATATCACATCTTAACTATGTCTATTCCAACTAAACCTTAAAATCATCTGAAAGAGATGTTCAAGCTTGAACACCTCCTTCCAAACCCAACCTTAAATAATAGGAAACTAGCCCTAACTAGGTGTCAACAGTAGGGAAAGGGGGCGTAGTATTCTCCAAGTTACTTCCTGCTTTAACTTCTGACATTTTAAGGATTAGACAAGTAACATACATAGTAAGTCTGTCAGCTCTTCTTAAAACATTTCTCCACTCTACTTAGCAAGGAGCTGTTTCTGCACCTTGGTATACATTGGAAGTAGTAGGGATCAGAAGTTTTAATTGCTCAGAATCTCCTTATGCCTCCATTTCTCTTCCAAAATGAATTGTAGAATGAAAGTGAGGTGTTTTGTTTGTGTGTATTCTACTGGGGAAGGGGGCTGAGCTTCACACAATGCAGGTAAAATTACAATTATAATTTGAAAAATATTTTAGGAAAATATTCTAAGATCAAATTTTTCTGAAAAGTAAAACTGTAGAAAAGCCATAAATTTAAACAGAATTGTTATTTTGCGTATATAAAGAACACTTGTGACCACCTCCTGCAGGTGAAAGATTGCCAGATTCTCTGGCAGCATCATAGCCTAGACGCTTTGACAGGGAACTTTCAACAGCTACATCACCAAGTAATGTGTGTCTTGCCCTGGACTGACTACCACTTAGAATCCCAGGCCTGAGGAAAGCTTCACCACCCTCACCACCGTCGCCTGTGAGAAGCCCTCTGTCCAGTGACTAGAGCTGTCATTGGAGACAGGAGATGGGAGGCGATTGGTGAGACTCAGGTCTTTAGTACAGCAGAAATAATGTGTAGGCTGGTGGTCAAGAAAGCAGTCTGTAGATCAAGAGTACATGAGAGGCTGAGGCAGTGATGGTGAAGTCTGCCCTAGGGGGAACTTTGTATCAGACTGTTTGAAGTGGTAACCTATGGATTTGCCTCTGCCTCCTGACAGTCCCTTTGTGTGTAGTGCCCTGCTTTCCTAATCATCTGACTCACTGATACCACCACAGAAAGCCATATTTTTAGGTTTTGAATATTTTCCTTGGCCTAGCAGTATTGGTCCTCAGATCTGCCTTGTAGACAAATGTGCCCATCACAGTATGCAGGTGCTGCTTCTTCCAAACTCCTTGTTGTCTGTCCTTGACTTCTCTCAGACGCCTGTCTCATCTCTAAACCAATGCTGTGAGCTCTGCCATCTAGGTCTGTCAGAATTTGTTGACTTCATCTCTGCTTCTGCTACTCAGGTCCACTATAACTTTTCTTTTGGAGCTTCTTGTCTTCCTACTTCAGTCCTTGCCCCTTTCTCTCATAGTCTTATCTCTTCACACAATTGGAACGATCCTGTTAAGATGAGTTAAAAGCTTGTTACTTTCTGATCAGAACCTCATCGTACCTTCCCTGTACATCTATAATCGAGCACAGTGCTAAGAATGATCCTTAAGGTGTTACAGGACCTCACTCTTTGCCCTTGTGCTACCTTCTTTCATTCAGCTGCTGGCTCCCTAGTGTCTTGAATGTGTGGGTGGGGGGTGCTTTCTCACCGGCTTCTTCCTCTTGTGGGCTGTTTCACTGTCCTCATAGTAGCTTCAAGGCTCGGCCTTTTAAGTGCCTTCAAGAATTTACTCTAATGTCATTTACAAAATATGACTGTTCATGGTCATCTAATCTAAAACTGGGAACTTCTTTCTCCCCCTGATGTTAATTATCTTCTTTGTTTTTTCTGTATGGTACATGACACAATTTATGTGTTAGATATTTTGAAAATTTACTTTGTTTCTCATACTGGGTTGTAATCTATATGAGTCACACACCACCTTTATAACATTAACTATATTGACTTAAAAGCTGCCGGTGAGTCTTCAGATGTTGCAGTGTCTTGAACTTGAAAGATTAGGGCGAAAAGAATTGAAGTCATTGTTTTTAAACAAAGGCTAGGTAGATTTGGCAAAATAACAATACATTAATCCAGTATAGACTTCTCTTTCCAACTCCTCCTTCACTATTTGTAATTTTTGGTCAAGAAATCTTAAGAGTTCAAGCCAGTAATTAGATAAGTCAAGAAATGTGCCAATAAAGAAGAAATGTAAGGAAAATTAGTGGAGGGTACATACTTAAAATTAAGTTTGTTTAATTTTTTATAAGACTGAGCTGTATAATAAGACTCTTACCCAATACAAGTATGTATCTAACTAATTAACTTCCCATTTAAAGTCTTAATAGGGAATCACTAAAAAGCAATATGTGTATGGCTTAATAATTTATTTAAAATTTCAAGCATGGTGGCGCACGCCTTTAATCTCAGCACGCAGGAGGCTGAGACAGGTAGAGCTCTTTAGTTTGAGACTAGCCTGGTTTTCATAGAGAGTTCCAGGCCACCAGGGGTACACTGTGAAATCCTCCCTACTATTTTTTCAAAAACTATTAAAATATCTATACATTTACTTGTCAGCCCTGTCCTGGGGTAAGAGGGTTCTGAGGTAGTTTGTTGAGGTAGTTTCTGCCTTAGAGCCCTTTTACACAGTGCACTTGTTTATCTTATGAACTTCTTTGATGTTTTCTGCATTTATTTGTTGTGAATACACCCGTGCCTGTATGCATGCTTATATATGTGTGCATACACATTTGTGTGTGTAGTCACAGCACACATGTGGAAGTTGGTTCTTTCCTTCCACCAGGTGGATACTGGGAATACAACTCAGGTTGTCAGGCTTGGCAGCAGGTGGCTCTGACTCTTCCTGTTATTTCACCAGGCCCATGGCCTACTATATATGTATATATATATTATAACATAACATATAATATAGTAATCAATATATGGTATATTAGTAATATATTAACAATTATATATAATTATATGGACTCAAGCTTGAACACATGCAAACTAGTCTAAGGTTAGAAGGAGCATTCTGTAGTGTCTGCCTATATGTAGTGTCCAAACTCTGCCATTGTAGACAGGTAATAAAAATTTATCTGTATTTTTTTCATTTCAATGATTGGCTTGCTGAAGTCTACACTCTATAAAGCTTGCAGCTGAAGCTGTGCTTCTTGGTGCTTAGAACTTACTGTATTACTGTCTGTTTGGTCAAGTAATCATGGCTTCAGTTCTAGCTCTGCCATGCGTTATTTTATAGGAGGCCATTCTCCATTTAAAAGAGGGACAGTAATCCTCCCTCATAAGAGGATTAATGTGGTGTTTGCAAAATGATTTGGGTTCCACCAAACAGGCACTTAAACAAATACACTCATTATACTTACCCTGTAGAGAACAATATTAATAATGGATTATATTATTTCCTTGAGTTTATTGATATTTTTAATAAGGAGGAAAGGTTTTATAAAACTATGAATTTTCATAGATAAAGCCCCGAAATGCAGTGTAGTATTCTGTATAATATATAAAATATGAGAGCCTTTTATTTTTAAGTTTTTTATTTTATTTATTGTATATGTGCACATATATGCATATATGCACCTGTACCAATGTAGGCATGTATAGGTCAGAGGACAACTTTTGGCTGTTGATTCTCTGCATCCACCACGTGAAGTCTGAAGATCGAGCTCAAGTTCTCAGCTTAGTGGTAGGCAAGTGTTTTACCCCTGAACCATCTTGCCAGCCTCCCCCTTTATTTCTTCTAAAATGTATACCTTCATTTTACATAGCATCAAGTCTTAATAAGTGACTGTGCTTTCCAATGGCAAGGTGTCCTATACTTCCTATCCTCTCCTGACCTCTGCTGGTGAGATCTAGGCATGGGTGACTCTCGGCAACTTTACTCACATGTATGACACCGCAAAAACCAAACTTTGTACTAGTCTCATCATTTACATTATATAGAGCACCTCATATGTTTTGAGTTTCTCCCCATATGTAAGCAGCTTCTCCAGTGGAGAGTTGTTACAGACCTGTAGCTCAGTTCTCACCAGATTGCTCCCTTGTTAATGCAGATTGAGAGCTCAGATGATTTTAACCTATGGTGTACAAATCAGAGAGGTTCACATGACCTGCTGCTTGGGTTGGCTAGAACAGCTCATGGAACGTTAAGTGCTGTGCTTACTAGACCCATTTACTAAAAGACAGTCCTCTCAGGAATGGCTGGATGGAATATGTATGGAGTAAGGAACAGAGGTTCTATGCCTCTGCAAGTATGAGATCCTACTGAGAATGTCAGGTGATCACCAACCTGGAAGCCGGTGAAGCCCCATAGCTGAGGGATGGTAATGGAGGCGTTATGACAGAGCTATAGTCAGTTTGTGAAGCCTGGGTTCAATCCCAGCTTACACACACACACACACACCACCACCACCACCACCACCATTTGAGAGACCAATAGAAAATTTAGTGTATAAGCTATGAGATAATAATCATTGAATTTGAAATTTCTTGGATATAAGAATGGTGCAATAATTAGGATTTGTTTGGCCAGGCAGTGGTGGCACACACCTTTAATCCCAGTACTTGGGAGGCAGAGCCAGGTGGCTCTCTGAGAATTTGAGGCCAGTCTGGTCTAAAGAGCCAGCTCCAGGACAGCCAGGGCTGTTTTACAGAGAAACCCTGTCTCTGGGGAAAAAAAAACATTAAAAATTTTTTTTTGTTCTTAAATGACTGCATCCTTGGAAATATTTACATATGAAATATTTAGATATGATGTGCTCATGTCTGTGATTTTTCTAGTGGATTTGTCACAATACCAACCCCCCCCCCAAAAAAAATAAAAATCTGGCAAAAGATTAATACTTGTTAGATTTCCATGAAGAAACATATGATGTGGTTTTTCTTTTAGTTCATATAGGTTTAAAATATTTCCAAAAGAAAATTAAGAAAAGTAAGCCAACAGAATTCATGCTGTGTGAGCTTCTCACACACACACACCAGCAGTTCTGTTTTTTGTCACACTTTGGAAACTATCTGTCAACCATAGTGTTACATGGGGTTAATGTTATAATTTCTTGTGGTTCTTTCTGTATTACATGGTGAAGCTCCTATCTGAGGCAACAGTTCATATTCATACTCTTTCCACTCTACTTTGGTAGCCACAGGACATTACTAATTATTTCACATTGCTGCCTGTGCCCTGCCTGTTGTAAACTGTTTACAACTGTTGTTTTAGGTAACAAAATTAAAAGATAGACATATGCTTTGGTCTCCGTGGTCAAGCAGTTAAGACTTTAATAACAATAATGTGATTTGAACACTTAGGCAGCTGGAGTACATGTGTTAAGTGTAGTAGTTTCCATTCTATAGAATGGAGAACCAAGGGAAACAGACAGGAAGAGTACTGATAGACTGATAGACTCTATCAATAAACAGATAGAATAGTACTCTGGCTAAGCTGGGCCTTGGTCCATGCCATGAAATCTGAGAGAATAGTTGAATTAGCTTGAACATGGAGGCATTTCGGAGAGGCTTTAGACCTTGGGCATTTGACCTGCCAGATGAATGCTGTATAGTTACTTTTCTCATTGCTTTGACAAAAACAGCTAAGGAAAGGCTTGGTTTAGCAGTTTGAGGTGCAGTCCATCATGGCAGGGAAGTCATGGTGGCAGAAGTGTGAACATCTTGCCACAAGGCTGTAGGGAGTCACCCTAGCCCTGCCCAATAGTCCTGGGGCAGGTACCAGGTGGACCCGGGGACTCGCCCATAAGGGCGGGGTGAAGGAAAGCCGAAATGAAGTAAGGGGGCTTCTTAAGGGGCTGCAGGTGGGGACGCGGCCCTCTCTTTGTTCTGGCCGCGCTGGCTGGGTTCTTAACCTAGCTCTGGCCTGTGTTTCACCCGGCTGTGCTTTGAAATAAAGAGACCTTAATCCAATACAAGGCAGTCACAGGAAAACAAATGAGTCCTAGGGCTCAGATCACTTTCTCCTCTTATTCAGGTTCAGACCCCAGCCAGCCTCAGTTAACTCAGTTTAGAAACTCCTTCCCAGTTGTACCCAGAGTATTGTCGCCCATCCTGTCAAGTTGGCAGTAAGCATGAGCCATCACAGGTGGTGAGGAAAAAGTACCACTAGCAGACAAGTGGCAGACCTTGGTCAGAGAGGCATGGCAGTAGTTGGGAATAGCCAGCAGTTCAGGACAACAGATTTGAGTTGAAAGTGTCTGTTAAAATCTCAGGTAGAAATCCTGACATACTGTTGTGATCTACTTTTATTTTGGTGTATATGAATCTGTGACTTATTGGTGCTCTAGCCTGTTTTCTAGGGCTCTTAAGTTCACAGTTGTCATGTGTGGTTTCAGTTACTTCTTCAAAATAATTGTTAGAACAATCAGCTTCAGTATACTTGGTAAGAAAATGGTTTTAGCCGTGAATTACTGACTGGACTGGAGAGGGAGACTGTATGCATGAAAGTCTGGGGTCGTGAAATGATAGTATTTCGGAGCCAGCACTTAAGCTTAATCTAAGTCTAAATTCTTATACTAGGAGATTATCCAAGGTTCAGTTTTTTATATGTGTAGAAGAAAGAAAAACATGTTTAATGTTGTGTGTATGTATGTTTTGTCCTTGCAGGATGCGGAGCATTTAAACTACTCTAATATATGACAAACATTAATATATGAAAGTGTATCTTTGAAAAAAAGAATGACATTCCCTGAAGTGATTTATTGGTAATTCATAGAAATAAAAGTGAAAGCTATCAAGAGACATCTGTGTGTGGGCTGTGTGTGTCATGCTCTTGTCCTGACTTGGATTATTTGGGTGTTTTCATGTTGATGGAGAAGGCGATTGTGGTTTAAGAAGTCAAAGGAGGGAATGTGGAATAACAACACAGCAAATGGCAGCTTAGATCAGTCTCTCCTCATTTTGGCCTTCTCTAAAGTCACATTTAGCGGAACATTAATTAGATTTCAGTGCCCCACTGAGTTTTAAAATTAAACATATTTCTGGAACCATCTGCATCATTTTATCTCTAATAATATAATAAAGACTGTGTTTAGCCTTTTGAAAAATGGGAATTAACGTTCTTTTGCTCACAAGTGATCATCTTTTTTTTTTTTATAAAAACTCATAGAAAACTTTAAAGAGTTAGAAAGTAATTACGGAGTTTTACGAATATACCTGAAGGTAAATTCTATTAAAAAAAATTTTATTGGTGAGGATCTCTTCTTAAATTCAGGATTTTCTTTGGGGATTTATGCTTTTAGATCTAAAATTATTGGTGGTGGGTGTGTGCCATCTGCCCCCATACTGCCTGTTTGAGGCTGGAGTAAAGCCAGTCAGTAAGGAGCCATAATTTTCATTCAGGAAGTATGATTGCCTGTGTTAGAAGGAAGACAGGATGGCAGCTGAAAACAGAAGAAGGTGACTACAGGGCCCAAAGAAAGCCCACCTGCCTGCTCTGAATACCTCTGCCCTTGCTAGACTTGTCCCTTAAGCTCTTTGTATCTGCTTCCTCAGTGACAGACATGCCTCAGGAGGCTAAGGGAAGCATACATCCTTGGAGTACAAGATGAACCTGCAGAACTGTTGCCTTTCTTGGGTAGTTTTCTCTTTTCATTGCTTGTTATCACACAATTATTATGCACTCAGGCCTAAATACTTGGAAAAAAAGTATTTCTTCTCCTAGAAACCCTAAAAGAGAGGAGCAAAGCCTTTTCTGTGTTAACTTGCTTCAGTGCTCAGCTCTGCTGCAGATCTCAGGCTTGACACACAAGACTCAGTTCACTATGGTGGCCTGTTTCCTTCCTAAAACTTTGGAACTTCTGTCAGCTCTGTAGGGTTCAGAATGGTATCAGAAACACACATATCCCACATCACACCAGATAAATCCCATAATAATCTTTCAGCTCCTTGTGTAGGGTCTTTGACAGCCTTTTCCATGTGACATTGCCACTAACTAGCCTTCTATCATGTCAGAACCCCTGCCACAGTGTTGTGTCTCCTTTGTCAGCACATGAGGAGTCTCTGGTGACTCATTGTTGTTTATTATTTCTCTAGCATAGAGCTAGTTATATATTAATCACATAGTAACTAAATTGAGTTTTTTAAAACAATGGACTTAGTCATCAAAAACATGATTGTGCTAGAATTGAGTAAAATTAGATAAAATAGAATTGAAATTTGTAGTTGTTTTTTGTTGGTTTGCAAAATACTTCAAATTTTCCTTTAAAAAAAACTTCTATAGTATACGTAGGAGTTTCTGTGATTGTCTTTAAAGCATTAGAAATGACAAACAAGCCCTTTGCTGTCTTCTCACTCACATCAAGTATTATGTTCGATTCCTAACTTCAGCTTTTGGCTGCTGTTGATGCTAGTGTCACATTAACCCACTTAGAAGCAAGTTAGGTAGGGCATTTGCTCTCTGGAATAGTGTAATTTCAAAAAGCATTTTTTTTGCTTTTTTTTATATTGTGATTTATAAGTAAAGAGTGTCAAACAAACACTAACATTGTATTTGAATTTTATTTTAGCAAAAGCAACTGGAAATTGAAAGAACTACCAAATGGCTGAAAATGCTGAAAGGATGGGAAAAATACAAGAACACTGAGAAGGTAATTTAAAATAATATTATTTCCATATGAAGCTATTTAAATCCATTGTGGATTTTCATGATAACCCTTTTCCTTCACTTGGCCCAATGTTTACATTCATATTCATTTTTGTAATTTTAGTTTAAAGAAACAGGATGCTTTATCTTAGAAGTCTTCACATTGGAAATAATCGAGTCCTCAAGTCATAGTGGTTCCAGTAGTCAGAGCTATGCTGGGTGTCCAGAGCTTGAGTGTAATTGGGTTTAACTGCTCTGATGCTGTCTCAGTTTCTTCTGCCTCCACTCTGGCTTCCCTTTGGGATCAGAATCACTGTCGTAATTCCAGGGTTCACATCCATATCACATTGCTCAGGAAAAGAGGGAGCTGGTCTTTGAACACTTTCTTGGAAGCAGGAGCAATCTCCTTCCCAAAAGCTAGAAACCCTCATGCTGTCCTGTCTTGAGTCCATGCTAAGTTTTAAACTCATGTCCCTTAAGATCACTCAAAGTCTTTGGCTGTCAAGACGGCTCAGCAGGTAAAGGTGCTTGTGCAAGCCTGATGACTAGAGTTTGATCCCCAAGCCCCATAGAAGTAAAGTTCTCCTCAGATGGCCATAGGAGTACTATAACATGCTTTTCAAAGTTTAAGGTTTGCTTGAAAGGCCGAATGTTATCAGTACAACACAGACAGTGTCAACAGTTTTCCTTCAAGTCAGAGCCTTAGTATATTTGTTGTGAGAGAATGCCTGCCAAGTATGGCCTCAAATCTGAACAACCATAGAACTGAGTTCAGTTAGTTGTTCTTTCAAGTATAATGGCATTCTGTGACAACAAGCAGTTGGTGCAGATTGTCATTCAAACATCTTCAGAAGTACTTTTTCTGAGGTAACCATCCTATTTTAGTGGTACAAGCTCCAGAAAGACCTCCAATTTCATTGGTCAGCATATCACTGCAATCTGTGCCCAAGAATTTAAGAGTTAATGTAATTAGTGCTTTCCAGGATACCTGGAACTTCCTATATGAAACTGACCTTACAATATTCCAGATTGTACTGTTGTTATCTTGGTTTGTGCCCAGTGGTAGTAGCTTTATTGCTATCACTTTCTCCCATCAGTGCAAAAGTCTTAGTGAAAGTGGAAAGAGACATTGTGTTCATTTTTTGAAAATGGTTTTGGTCTGGTGCTTGCAAACCCCTGATATCTCACCACAGTTCCTCTACAGTGTAATAGTGCTCATTTTAAAGGGATGGGAGTCTGATGGGCTAACACAGGGAAACTACCGTCAGCCTGGCCTACAGACAGCACCCAGTAAATGCTAGGTACCTGTGCACAGTTTTTAAAGGGGAGAACATCTTATAGCAAAACATCTAAGCTAATTTAGAGTCTTTTTTTCCCCTTCTATTTCCGTACTCTTTAAATTTGTAAAATTACATGTATTTAGTGTAGGGTGCATGTGTGTCACAATGTGCATTTTGAGGTCAGAGAACAAATTTCAAAAGTCAATTTTCTTCTGCCATATGTGGGCTCTGGATTTTGAATGTAGGTTTTTTCAGGCTTGGCTGCCGCACCTTCACCTGCTGAGCCATCTAACTGGCCTGTATTTCTTTACACTTTCCCATAGGCATACTTATATAAATACAAATTATTGTACATCAACATAAGAAGAATTCTGTTGAGCATCAGTTCCCTGGGTTTTAATAGGTCTGAGGTAGAAGCAGCTAGAGATTAAGGTAAAGCTAGATGGAATAGTCTTGATTTAAACTCCAGCTTGTCACTTGTAGTGCCTGCTTTTAGAGCTGCTATGAGGATTAAATAAGCTACCTTAGTATAGCATAGGAAGCGCTGCTCGTTAGCCCAGGAGAGGCTGTTTCATGGTATTGGGAAAAAGCTAAGCAAAGTCAAGTAAGGTTTTTGTACGATAGGATTCTACAGTTGTTAATGTGGACTGTCACCTGCTATTATAGGAGACTTATTCACTGTGGAGATCTCTTGATTATGGGTTATCTCACAGAGGTGATGTCATTGTTTTTTCTTTGTGACCATCCCCAAAATCCTTATTTTAAAGTTAAATTCTTACTATTTTATTTTGCACCAAAGTGGGTTCATTTTGTGTTGTTGAGTCTTTGTTTTAGCACTGGGTTTAGAACTCAAGATATCTTTAAAAGGAATCACTTCAAAGTGGGAAATTTAGGTGCAGCTCTGTGCTCTTTTTAATAGCACAGCACCCTCAGATCGGCTTGCAGCTGACAGCTCCTTTTCCTCTGTGGATTGTTCAAGCGATGATGACAGGATGAATTTCGAAGCATCACGCCTGCACTTTAGTTTCACATTCAGCCTAATAAAGTATCTGTAGAATTATATGGCTTTATTCTTCTCTGGTATACATGTATCTGTTGAAGTAAGGAAGTCTCTGTAAAGATGAGTACTTCTGCGAGGCTATTACTATGACAGCAGCTCCCGCTAATGCAGCTCCCATTAAGAGGGGTTTTAGCAGAACTATTTCTTTGATGTATAATTTTAAAGCACTCTCCCCTAACTATAGTGTAGAATCATTTGATGATATATATGGTCCAATTTGGTGTGAAACAGAGTGTACCTTCTAAAAGAATTACCACCTTCAATTCATACCTTGTTTTAAAATTACACTGATGTAAAAAGGTAACATTGTATTTTTGTTTCTTCCAAAGGGAGAGAGGGTTGTTTTCTTTTCAGAGTTCCTACTTACATAGTAATAATGCAGAGAGACTCAATGTCTTGAAATACAAACATGGCTCTAGTGGGGAATATTTGGAGTTTTAGAGCTGAGTTTTCATGAAAGCTTCTGTGAGGGTCGTGTTGCCTATGTTCGCAAGTGGCAGCCTACCTTCTGGGATGGGGCTTTGTTTGCTTCCTGTAGGTGTGAGATGTATGCTTACATCACAGGCATCACAGGGTTGTCATGGAAATATCAACAGAAGGAAACTGCACTATGGGCTGGTCAATAAACTGTACTTTTATGTAATGCCTAGTGTTTTACAAAATTTCTAAAACTTCTATGATAATCTACAAGATGAAAGGAAAAATGTGTAGCCATTGCAAGTCAGTTATATAAGTGGTCAAGCATGGTTACCCCTCAGCATCTGAGGGGTTGTTCCAGGACTCTTGTGGTCCCAGAGTCCACAAATGCGCTAGTCTTTCATATCAAATGGCAACAGTGCCCAGCTTCTTTCCTCTCCAGGCCAAGTGTACATGTGGTGTAAATATTTACTAGACAGCACTGACAAGAAAGCAGTTTGAGGCATTTGTAAAACAGTTTTTTCCTGAATAATTTTGACTTGTGATTAAGTCTAGAGATATAGAACCATGAATCTGGAGGGCCAAAGTGTATATGAAAATCAATAAGTATAATTAAAAATCCTTACTTTAGAACATCTTTATTATTTTTCTATTATATGTTTAGTTTGCATATTTTGTTAGATGCCAAAGATAATCAATTTTATATTCCTTTTAAGTTCAGTTACATAATCAATGTTTTAATGTTATTTACTCTTGAATTTTAGAACATTTTTCTGTCACTTTTCCAACTATTTTAATAACTAGCTGACAAAACAGTGTGTGTGGTCACAGAAGGATGACCTTTGTTCTTATGAAATGTAAAATCCATAATATTTATTTATGTATGTCTGCTTACACACGTGTGTGGGTATGCTTGTGGGAAAGGGCAGAGAATTGACATCAGGTGTCTTCCTCAGTCTCCTCTACCTTTGTGCATGTGTGTAATGGGGGTGTTGTACATAAGTATGTGCATGTTTGTGCTGGGGAGTCAGATCAGGACTCTGGTGTCTTGCTCTGTCACTCTTTGTCTTATTCTCTTAAGCATGATCTCTCCCTGAACCTGGAATTTACCATTTCAGCTAGGCTGGCTAATAGTGGGAATCCTGTTACCATAACAGCCAGCCTGTTACCATACCCTTACCACAGTGCTGGCATTGCAGGTATGCACCACCATGCCCAGATTTCTTTTTACACGGGTGGTAGAGATTTAAACCTTGGTCCTCATGTTTGCACATCAAGTGCTCTTTCCTACAGAGCCAACTTTCCATTGTCAAGATAGCCTCAAGCCAAAGGTTTTCATTTTTTGTTACTATCATTTGTTTTGCTTGTACCAGGAATTTAACCTAGGCAAGCACTCTACCACTGAACTACAGCCCTAGCCCTCATCTTATTTTTGTCACAGGCTCACCACCAGTGGCCTTTAGCTTATCAATTTAGCTAGAGTGGTTTGCTAACAATCTCTAGGGATTCTCCTGTCTACTTGCCCAGCACTGGGATTATAGACACATATTGCTGCACTGAGCTTTTACATAGGGACTGAGAATCTGAACTCACCCTTGTGATTTATGCTGTGAGCCCTTTACTTACTGGATTCTCCTTCTTTTAAATAATTAGTAACTTTTTAGGCTTGCCATTGGGCAAGTTATTATCTTCTTTATGATTTACTTTCCATGTACAGTTAAGTTGTTGGTATAATTAAATGGCATAAATATATAACAGCAAGTTTAAAATAGTTTCCTATATATAGTAAATGCTTAGTGAAAGGTAGGGTTAGTTGGTACTGTGGATGAGGATAGTGACAACATGTCAGTATTTCTTTTTCACTCATTTTAACATTTAGCTCTGGGGTAGCCTGGTAACCATTGAATTTTTATTTCTTCTTGGAGTTTTCCTACTTTTTTTCTCTTAGTTTAATCATGACAACTTGATTTTCCTCCTTTAGAATATAAAGTTAAAATATTGATTGAGCATTCTTCATATGAAATTTTGAAATAGGAAGGGCTCTAGAATCCAAAACCTTGTTGTACTTACAAGTCTACTTGGTGTTACAAGTAGACAGTTCCACACTTGGTCTTATGTGACATCACAGTCAAAACACTGAAGATACTGAATAAAATGATCTTAAGGTACCGAGTATGGTAGCACATGTTCACAACCATAGTTTGGGGGCGGGTACAGCTAGATAGGTGGATCCCTCGGGCTTGCTGGTCCATTAGCCTAGCCCAGTTGGCAGGTACTCAATCAGTAGAGGCCATTTCAAGCAATGAAGGTGAACAGTACCTATGTTATCATTTGATCTGTGCATGCACATTCATAATGTGTTTCTGCACACATGTACCCATGCCCCCCCAACAAAACAGGCACATACATGTGAGTGTGTATGTGTGCACACGCGCGCGCGCGCACACACACACACACACACACACACACACACACACACACACACACACACATACAGCTTTCCAGCTTATGTGTATAAATTGTGGATAAAACAAAAGAATTTAATGCTTAGACTTGGGTTTCATCTCCTAGATACATCATCATGTATATGCAAGTGTTGTGAAATTTAAAGAAGTAAGTAAAATCCCAAACCTTCCTTAAGGGCTCCTGCCATAATTTATCAATCATTTTTTTTTGTTTGGACATTAATTTTTAAACTTCAAAATGTTATTACAGTATCATATTGTAATGACCTTAATGTATTTGTATATTATTTTGAAATGAACTTGAAATACTAATTATGAGATAGGGAACTCTGTTGAGTCTTAAGATCCTTAGGATAATTGCAATGCATATTTTAAGAACTTAAGTTGGTAATGATTACTTAGATATCTAATTTTTCTGAAAAGCAAATTGTGGGCTGGGGAAGAAGCCTAGTGGTTGAGAGTACTTGGGTACCATGTACAAGGTGCTGGCCTTGATTCCCTACACAGCTAGGAAAGAAGTAAGGAGGGGTCTTTTTCTTTGACAGAGATTTGCCAATTGTTTTGTGTGATCAGATAGGTTTAGTGCCATTTAAGAAACAGGACAAAGGGTGAGGTGCACAGCTGAGCTAACTGAGGTCTGAGACAGAGCTCCATGTATTCTACAGGGAGATGGTATTAGGAAAGAGATTAGACAGTGCTTTCTGCACTCATGAGGGTACTTTCAGTACAAGGTCCCTTTCTCCTATTTGGGTCACCTTCTAGCTGTGTGGGAGAAGGCTGGCATATAGTAAGGAAGTGTGTAACTAAGATGTTCACAGTTTACCTCAGTGCATCGGCTCTGTGCACAGAACTCTAAGGGACCCTTCTGTAACAGTCAAGTGTACCAATTTACCAAGTGTTCTGATAATTCTGTTTTTCCTATTTTCTTTTGGTAGTTTTTATTTTTTCCTTCTGTGATTATGTTTCCCTTTTAGGATCTAAAAAAAAAATACAGATGACAGAACCTAATTGTATTGACTAATTAAAGTATATAAATTAATGGTTCTGTATATCTGGGGGGAAAAAAAAAACCTGACAGATGGAAGGGACTATCTAAATTTTTGTCAGATTGTAACCTTTTCTGGTTTCCTTCTCTTTTACTCAGTTTCATAGACGAATTTACAAAGGAATTCCACTCCAGCTCCGAGGTGAAGTCTGGGCTCTTCTTCTTGAGATCCCTAAAATGAAAGAAGAAACAAGAGATCTTTATAGTGTGAGTACCTAAACTAATTGACTTTGAAGTTAAAGTGCAAAATAACTTCTTTTTGTTTTTAAGGTGATAGGATATTCTCCTATCACTTGAAATTGTATTGAGATTTTAATGCTTACTGTTTTTGTTTTGTTAGTGCCAGTCTACTCAGATTTTAGATCAAGTGTTGTCTATATCAGCCAGTATTGTTAGACACTGACAGTGATCCATTAGTGCTGAGGCGTATTTACTCATAAGGAGATTTACATAATGTTTAGAGTTTACAGGGAAGGTAAATACAGAATCTGTGTATCCAATACCTGCCTACATATGATTGCTCAGCAAGGCTGAGGGAAAGTTTGTTCCCAAGATAATTTTCTGTCTTCATTTTATTATGTATGAGTTAAAAAGTTAAACTTGACTGAGTGATGAATTTTTTCCTTAACTTGCATAATGATTAAATATACCTCCTTTATCATTCAGCCATACTCTTTCTAAACCTAAGTTTATGTTAACCTTTGAAAAGGATAAGAACTTTACATCTAAGATTCTTAGATCCATGGGTTTTAAAGTAAAATATACATTGTAAAGTTAAAAAATACATAGAAAATGTATTTAAATAGAATGAATTACAATAGAACAAATGGGGGAAAAAGAAAAATCAATTTCAACCCAGCCAGTTGTAAAAGGCACTTTAGTATCTTTTGATATTTTTCTTTTCTATGTATGAACTCAGATGAAAGCTTGCCAAATGAAAGATAATAAGCAGTAGTTAAAGAGTTAATAGTTTTATGAGAATACAGGACTTCACACAGGTAGTGAATTTGTGTTTCGGGGTATTAGAGATTGAGATTATTTTAGACTATTAATGAGATACTTGTTATTAGCATGGAGGTTTAGAGCCCCTGTTCAAAGCAATATGTGCCTGAGAGAACACACATACAACTTAACTCTAGCACTTAGAACAGTGTACCCAGCAAACAGTTCATGCTCAGTAAATATATGGCTAATGAATGAACATAGAAAATAACAAGAACATACAGTACTTTTATCTGCACACTATATTCATTTCTAGGACTGCTAGGGCCAAGAGGTATAGTGTGGGTGACTAAAACCACAGCAATCTATTCTGTCACACTTCTGGAGGATAGAGTTCAGAAGTTAGTGCTGCTGCAGTACCTGGCTGCTTTTCAAAGCTGGGGGGAAGACTCTTTCCTGGCCTTCTGCCAGCCTCTGGTGGCTGCCTGCAATTGTGGGTTTTCCTTGGCTTGTAGCTCTTTAGCTCCTCTGCCTCCTGTGTCATGTGCCACGTGTCTGTGTGTCTCTTCCCTGAAAAGGTTGCCAGCCATTGGATTTCAGTTTCTTTGTAATGCACATGGGCTCATCTGAGCTTAATGGTGTCTTCAAAATCTCTGTTTCCAAAAAAGGCAACATGCACTGGTTCTGGATGGACATGAACTTTGGGTGGCACTCTTCAACCGTCCTTGAGCGCGCGTGCATGCGTGTGTGTGTGTGTGTGTGTGTGTGTGTGTGTGTGGGTGTGTGTGTGTGTGTGTGTGTGGGTGTGTGTGTGTGTGTGTGTGTGGGTGTGTGTGTGTGTGTGTGTGTGGGTGTGTGTGTGTGTGTGTGTGTGGGTGTGTGTGTGTGTGTGTGTGTGGGTGTGTGTGTGTGTGTGTGTGTGGGTGTGTGTGTGTGTGTGTGTGTGGGTGTGTGTGTGTGTGTGTGTGTGGGTGTGTGTGTGTGTGTGTGTGTGGGTGTGTGTGTGTGTGTGTGTGTGGGTGTGTGTGTGTGTGTGTGTGTGGGTGTGTGTGTGTGTGTGTGTGTGTGTGTGTGTGTGTGTGTATTTCCCTATATAAAGTCATCCTATGACTAGTTAATATAAGAGAGTGGTTTAATAACCCAATAACAACAAATCAAATGAGTATTAGAACTCCTAGGCTCAGAAATTCATTTTGATACCTTCAAACATAACAATTATCATTTAATCCCCCTCAAGACATCATTTAATAATGTCTTCTTTTCCTGACCTCTCTTTTCTTGTCCCTCTACAAAAGTGGCATATGTTTCTGTCTGCACAGCTCTGTGAACTGGTCCTTCCTTGTTTAATCTAGCAGGGTGTTTAATCTAGCAGGAGCCTGCCATGTGGTGCCCATTCAAGCCTTTAGCTTCACCTGAGGACTTCTGTGTCCCTTCTTGGAGCAGAGTTCTGCTAGGTGTTACACAGCACACAACGACAAACAACTGCAGAGTGCAGAACTGTTGCTTCTGGGAGGACACAAGACTGTACAGAGATGTTTGCATTCTGGATAGCGCATGGCATTTAGACAGCAAAACAGAAGCCTTGACTAAGTTGAAATCATGAAGTCTCCGTGGACTGGAAGGTGTGAGGGGGGAAGAAAAAGAGGATTGAGTTTTCAAGGTACTTTGGAATGCCCTTTCAGTTTCCCTCTCCCCAGCTGGGATTTGGTTGGTTTTAGTCTGAAACATCATATTTCTGTATTTTAGAAACATCTTCTCTACTTCACCTTGAGGAACGTAGACCTTGTTAGGATAATTTATGGACATTGAGTACTCTACAGGGATTATCTTACTTAATTCTTTCCATTATAGAACCAGGCGGGTTTTACTACCGTTTTCTGTACCATTGTCATTTCATTGAACAGACCGGGAACCCAAGCTTAAGTAAGGTTTGGTAACTTCTCACCCAGGGTGAGCAAAGAAGAAATAGATTTTAAAATCCAGTCATCTTTGGCTCTGAGCTAGTGTTTTCCCTTTTAATTTAATTATATCACATTTGTGTTTGTCTTGAATTTAACAGCATACCTTAAAATGGCAGAAGGTCCCATCTACCATGGTTACAAAACCTCCACAGCATGAGCCTGGCGTGTGGGGTTCCTCCCAGAACCCCAAAGAGACACTGCTGACCTTTCAGCTCACTGCTTTCCTCTCTGCACTGTCTTGGCTTATAGGCTCATTAGGTCTCTTTCTTTTAATGAAAACATTGCTTCACGCATCACTGTGATACTTGTGACTGTAGATCACCCAGTCTCAGGTAGCTGTAGAGTCTGCTCACCTGGGGGTGTGGGGGATGTGGGGGGAGCTGTGTTTGTTTCAGTGCATCTTTTGCATTAGCTTGTAAACCCTTGAAAACATGAATAACATTTTTGTCCTGTACATTTTAACCTACTCCCTGGTCTTTGTTTGCTTCTGTCATAATGTCTTTGCTGTGATTTTCATGTCTTTGAGAAAAGCCAGTATTATAGATATGTTTGGGTCTTTTTTTCTATACCTAAATTTTATTTTAAGACATTTTTTTTGTCATGTCTGAAACATTTTCTTCCTGTTTTGACATCTCAGCTTTTGTACCAGGAGGCCTTTAGAATAAGTGAAGCCTATGTATTTAACCATTTCCTTAACAATAAAAGATATTTAAAAACCATATATATATATAACATATATATATATATATATATATATATATATATATATGTTACTGTTTGTATTCTTCAAAATTCTGGAACATACTGTGGTTATTCATGTTTTCTCTTGGGTATTTTGTAGTGCTGAGGATGAAGCTTAGGGTCTCTCATAGACTGGAAGTGTTATCTCACTGGGTCATACTCCCCACCCACTCTTGTGTTTTAAAAAGCTGCAGAAAGTCACACCTCAAAACAGACTAAAAATACTTAACATGTACACACATACATGTCAGGCCCATGCTTATTCTAGACATAACCACATGGCCTTTACTCCTTGTTTTTCCTTCTTAACCTAGGGGTTAAAGCTATATTTTCTGTGTATTTATTGGAGTTTGTCTGTATTCCCAATATATGATAAATGAATCTGTATGATTGTGTGTCTATGGATGATTATTTATACTTAAACATAGCTAAGTACAAATTGTTACAAATTTTAATCATCTTTCTGATTAGACACAGGTGATGAAAACAGTCATAATTTAACTCCCTTTCCCTGGAAATGCCACCAAATCAATAGCAGAGTTTTTAAAAAGGCAAGCCTATAAGGAATAAGGAAATGGAAGAAGTCATGTCTGCCACAGTTTGGACCACAGAGTGCAGACAGGCAGAGTAAACAAAGCAACTCTAAGGAAGCTAAGTCCTGTGCTAGCAGTGGGAAACTGGAGGAGCCACATGATTTATATCATAAATCTCCAGAGGACTTGGCAATTTGCACCTGCAGGTTCCTCTGGAAGTAAAGGTGAAGCTAAAGTGGTTAAAAGTCTGTGGGAGAAGCAGTTGGAGCAAGTTCCAAGTCTCCTCTAGCACAGGTCTAGAACTGTACGTTTCTTATTGGGAAAAGGTGAAACAGCAGCTGTCCTAGCTATGCAGGGGAATATCATACTCCAAATTTTGGACAGTTAGCTTTTCCCTAAGAACACCAGCAATCAGATGCCTGTGGTGCTCTCTGGGATATGTGACCAGTGCATAGGCAGTGACCAGTGACCAAAGGCCTAGGGTTCTAGTGACTGCACTGCAACTGCCCTGCTACATCCCCGCTCTACAGTGACATCACTGCCCACTGTTGTGAAGCCCCATTTGGGCACACAGCTTTGTTTAATGCCTTACTTTCAAGCAAAAGCAGATTATTATTAGTAGTCATTTGAGGAAAGGGACTTAAATTGGAGACAAAAGAAGTAGAAAAATACACTTGTAAGAAACAGACCATAGAATAAGAAGAAAACCTAAAAGATTGTTGTTAATATGTTCAGAGAAATGAAATCGATATTGCATCCATAAAACAAGTATAGGAAACTATAAAAAGGAGCATTCTGTAACAACAAAGACCTTACATAAAAAATAGAAATGAAAAACTTAATTGAAAATAACAATTGAAAATTTTCAGAAAATAAAATTTAAAGGCATAGATGTAAGCACTAATAAAGGAAAAAGAAAATGAGCTGATCCCTTAGTAGATCCCACACTGTAATAACCAAGCTCCAGAAAGAAAATGGATCATGGCAGGGGAGAAAGAGGAAATTGACAGGGGAATCTGGAATTATTAAAAACAGTTGTGCAGAGATGAGAGATGTATGAGTTTGTAAGTTTGAAAGTGTCTGAGTCTGTGGTTGAAAATAGATCCAAAACAAGGAAGAAATGGACAACTTTCAAACAGAGTGCTCCATCAACTTCTAGAGAAGACCTTACATAAAGAATAAGAATTCCAGTGGCAGAACAAGAGGCCAGAAAATGGTAAAACAGTGCCTTTTGAGCAAAAGTACTTCTAATTTAGAATTCTCAAGCAGCTTCCACAGTCATTTGAAAGAGTACGTCACCAGATATTAAAGGTTTCCAAAACTTTACCTTCTATGGTGCCCATTCACAGAAATGGAGAATGCAGTGCATAAACCAAGAGCCAGGAATCTGGGATGCAAGCTTAGAGCAAAGTTAAGGAAGCCCCAAGACCAGAGGCAGTAGTTCTGAGGACAAGCCACGCAAGCAGAAATGTGGCTGGCTGCTTTGGGAGAAAGTTTAAGAAGTTGGCCACTAGGCCTGGCTCTGTAGTGATGTCTTTAATCCCAGATCTTGGGAGCCAGCCTTGTCTATGTAGTGAGTTCCAGGCCAGCTATGGCTACATAGTGAGACCGTGTCTCAAAAAATCCAAAAGAAAAGAAACTGGTCAGTGTTTGCTAGGATATCCTGGGAATTCTACAATGTGCTTCAGATTTGGTGTTAAATTTCTTTCCTACAAGGATATAGAAAATGAAGCAAATCAAGAAGCAGCCACTCATTCCAAGGAAAGAAAAAAAAAATTGAGACACAAAGAAAAATTCCTCATAAAGTGCATCACTGAGTAGTCTTAATCCTACAAATCTCAGACATTTCCTGACCTAAATCTCACTGCTGATACCATGGAAGAGAAAGGAAGGGAGGGAAAGGGCCATGAGCAGAGTAGATGGGGGCATGGAGGGATGGATGGAAAGTTTTCTTGGTGTATCTTTTTATATTGCCTAGATCTTCTTTAAACCATGGGAATAATTTTCCTAGCCCTCTGCTGATACATACAGACACACATACATAAAGTTGTTCCTTTTTTTTTTTTTTAAAGGGGGATCATTTTGGTATTTATCATTAACTTCCAGCAAGTGGTTTTCATAAAAAATGTGTTTTCTTTTCCTCTTTTTCTTCTTCAGAAATTAAAACACAGAGCACGGGCTTGTTCACCTGATATCAGACAAATAGACCTTGACGTGAACCGCACATTTAGGAACCATATTATGTTTAGAGACAGATACGGTGTTAAGTAAGTAAATTTTAATAGTATAAAATGTGAATAGCATGTATAAATGGTCTCTACTGGAGTCTTTAAGGTAAACTATAGTTTTAGAATGTTTTGTTTGAACTATAATCTTAATTTAGATCCTAAAGGTTTTTGCAGATCATTTGTGTCCATGTTGACTGAAACAGGGGTCTAACTTAATTTAACGTTTTAAAATATTGACATAGGATAGGCTGTAAAATTGGTAAGGGATTATTTTATGATTTTAAAATTCTTAAAAATATTTTGTGGACACTAGGGAGGCCAAGGCAGGAGGATGGTAGGTTTGAGGCCATTTATAGACATGAAATCTTTTGTGTGTTTGAAAACTATAATAAGTTTATCTCTCTAACTATGACCTCATGAATAAATGGAACTTAAAAGAAAGAAAATGAATTAAATGAGAAGCTAATATATGGAGTACTACAAAGCATTTGTCCTTACTGCAGGTGGCCATCACTATGTCAGTGTGTGAATGAAAAGAAAGGCCAACCTCTGTATCATTTAGAATCCAACCAGCAAAACTGAGCTGTAGGAGAGCTGTATTAAGATTGGTTTGACTGGGGACGGCAGGCTAGAAGCACATGGTTCTGGTCTGTTTGGATTGCCTCTAATAATTTTCCTAACTCAAATTCAACAGACAATGAATTTAATCACATCTGTAAAACACTTGACAGCACCCAGGTCAGTACTTGAATAATGAGGGAATTGTAACCTCACTGCTGTTATAGCTGGCCATCGCAGCTTGTCCTTGTCAACTTGGTGCTCACACACATTTCTTTAAACCATTCTGATTTCCATGCGAGGCCATAACAAATCATACATCTCTGTAGCATGATGCAACTATTTTGCTTGCAGCTGAAGACACATTAATCCTTTGTCTACAAGTGGATTCCAAGTCCTTTGCTGGTAGTCATGCTTAAATACTGTAGTATAGAGGTACCTATTAGTACTTCTAATGTAAGATACTAAGAGAAAGAAATTATTAATATATAGACATTCATACCAAAATATAAGGAAAAGTCCTAGTAATTACTATAGTCATCCCTATGGCTGGCCACGTGTCATGGTATTTATAAGTACATTTTCCATTGCCAGGCGCTCAGCAAGTACCTCAGTTTTGTTGCAAGGCTTAGGGCTTTAATCCTGAAAAATCGGGACCATTAGCAGTCTTCCTAAATTATGTTGCCATAGTTTTCTTTACACATATACTCTTCGTATGTACTTAGTACATACTAAGAAGTTCCCCAAATGATCTCCTTTATTTCAGATGTGGTTTCTTTGTGTTCATTAGGTAGTAACATCAGCTTCTGTCATAGTAATCAGGATCAAGTCACCCTGACCAATGTAGTCACCTTTCTGCCTGGTGAGCCCAAAAGTGACACACGGATCCCAAAGCATTGGGGTAGCATTTTCACTTGCAGCTTGATGGAATCATTGTTGTCTCCCTACGGGCTCATTCCTCTTTTCTGTTTTGTTCTGCTTTGTTTTTTGGGGGTAGGGTCTCACTATATAGCAGGATGGCTTAGAAATCGTAACCCTCCTGCCTTAGCCCCTGGGTGCTGGGATTACAGAGGTACACCACCAGGCCAGTTCTGTTAAAAGTGAGATGTCTGAGTCAGCAAAGACTGAAGTGGCACAGCCTGCAGTGGTGAGTTAGGAATGTGGAGAGGCCAGCGCCCCTTTCTCCTCTCATCTACTCTTAGGATGGATGGATGGGGCTCTTCAGCTTCCTGGGGGAAGACATCCTGGGATGTCACTTCCTGCACTTAGCTGCTACTATAAGAGTCTTCAAGAGGCCATCACATGCTGTTTCCCGAGTGGCTTCAGAGTAAGATAGTTGAATGAAAAGAAGGAAATGGATTTGAGAAACTCAGTGAAGCCATAGTACTTTTCATATGAAGTCTTTCTATCTAAATGTATGATAAGGTAGCCTTAAATTTAAACTGTTGAGAATTCTGGTTCAATTTGAGCTTAGGGTGCTTTAAAACAACAACAACAACAAACCTACAATAGTAATTTCATTTGGATTGCCTTTGTTTTTAGTCATACTGCTTTTTAAGTTTGTGATTTTAAAATTAAATTCTTTTAAAACTACCTTAATTATGTTTAATACAAATTTTCAATTCTCTAGGCAACAATCCTTATTCCATGTTCTTGCGGCATATTCTGTCTATAATACGGTAAGTTGGAGCATGCCTGTCTAGTCCTTTGAACTGCATTCTGAGGAACATGGCTCTTATAAGCCATTTCTCCATGGTCTACACAGTCCCCATTAGCTCTGGTGTTTTTGAAGCTCCCATGTTGACCCAAGGGCCTTAGAGCTGATTTGGAAGTAGGAAAACCTAGATATGACTATATGATACCCATGTGCCTCACTTTTCCTCTCCCTCCAGGTTGTTTTGTTCCATTACATCTTTGTTATCTTTGGTTTTCTTTTTTAAGCATGTAAGAATAGGCATGGCAGGGTAGGAAAGGGAGCGGTGGCCTGCTGACTGTACATTACTCCTGGCAGATTCTGTTGCAATATCTTAGTTTATCACCTGTGGGAGGTCTATGAGATGTAGACTAAAACTAAACCTTATTGCTTCAGAAACACAGAGGTGACAAGACATGAAACTGAGATTTGGGGAACAATTTGCCAGTATCTGAGAACCATATACTCAATAAAATGAGTATTAGCACTCTTTAGAGACTGTGCTGCAGTTTCACATATAAAACAATCTTTTAAATGTAGCTTGAGGCTTTCCCCACACCTGTTTACTCTTGAGCTCTGTTTTATTCTTGTATGTGCCCTGATGCTGTAGATATTGCAACAGTTATCTATAGAATTGCCCTGAAATATATCTAGGCATTTCCTGGAATTTTTATAAATTAACCTTTCTCTTGTATGTGTTCATGGAATTTGATTTTAAAGCCCGAGTCTCTGTTTTCATTTCTCATTAGGAAGTCGGGTACTGTCAAGGGATGAGCCAGATAACAGCCCTACTCCTCATGTACATGAACGAGGAAGACGCCTTCTGGGCCTTGGTCAAACTCTTCTCAGGCCCCAAACATGCTATGCATGGTAAGAAAGCCTCATATATATATGTGTGTGTGTGTATGTGTGTGTGTGTATGTATGTATGTATGTATGTATGTATGTATGTATGTATGTGGATATATGTGTACTATATGTATATATGTATAAACAAGCAAGGGGGAAAGCAAACTGAAGCAAAATCAATGATTCCTGGTGAATTAAGTACAGCAGATGTTAATCTCAGACCTTATTTAGTAAATCAGTTACTTAATTTGGTTATTACTAATTTCTTGTTTTTTTTAATTATTCCTTTTCTTCTTTGATTTTTATTAACCATTTCTATTCACATTGAAAGTTTTTTGTCTTTTCCCCAAAGTGTATTGCTGGTATTTTAAAATTCTTTTCTTGTTTGCCCTTAGTCAAAAAAATTAATTTAGGTATGGAGAACTTATATTAGGAAAAATAAAAGATAACCTGTTGGCCAAAATACTTGCTGTTCTAATGAAATGCTGTTTTTCATCAGGTGCTCTGATGTATAGCTTTGTTGCAGAATATTAATCAAGAAAGGACATTTAAGTATTTAAAGAAAGAGTACGTAGTAATTAAGTAGCTTCATATTTCAGATGTGGCTTTTAGTTCTTTGAGCCTTACATTTTATTCCATTTTAAGGAAAAGGCTAATAACATGTTTTGACCTCTTGATTATTAGTATTTCACAAAACCTGTACCTTTTTTGTTTTCAAATTAACAGATTGAGTTTAATGCCTTCTCCTTATATTTGCCAAGAAAATGCACTAAACTTTATTTCAGAGTTTGCATTTTGCAACTTGTCTTAGGAGTGAAAGTGATATTTGTCCCATAATGCAGGATTATGTGCTGTTTTGTTTCTAGTGTCTTCTCTGTGGTAATAGCAGATTTAAGACAAACTGAATCGCTGAGGTTATCACTTAGTGATAGAGCACCTGTCTAGCATACGCAAGGCACTGACTTCAATGCCCAGCATCAGCTACACAAAGACTTAGGTTCATTGTGTGAGTATTTATGTTTATAAGGAGAATGCTCATTTAAATATTTCAAAATTAGGGTCCTCCATAACCTTTTTATATAGTAAATCTGACAGGCTAACTTTTTATTTGCTTGTTTGTTTGTTTTTCGAGACAGGGTTTCTCTTTGTAGCTTTGTAGACCAGACTGGCCTGGACCTCACAGAGATCCACCTGCCTCTGCCTCTGCCTCCCGAGTGCTGGGATTAAAGGCGTGCGCCACCTTCACCCTGCCCAGGCTAACTTTTTAAAGAAGGGTGTGTATATGTATGTGCTTTTGTCTTACTTCCCATGTTCCTGGATAGTTATTTTAACAGATACCTGTATAGTAACTGATTCTGAGTACTTAGAGTGCCTTAAATGGACTCCAGAAGTGAAATATACTACTGTATCAAGTTACTATCTAGTAAACTGTAGAATTAAAAAGACATCTTGACAAAAAGAGCCCATCATTATCATCGGTCTTTCTCTGGGCTCCCTGTGTGATGGTGTTGCCAAACTGTCCTGTAATATAGTGGAGTGTTTCCTGCTTAGTGATAGGTTAATTGTGTGGTGTTATTTTCATCTGATTTTAGAAAATGGTATTTTCTTTTAAACCTCTTGTGACTTAACTTCAACTATCACTGTCTAATCTTTAAACAGTGTTAATTTTACAGCCCTATTATTTGTTCCTACAGTATAGTTTAGGATGTTTTTATAGGTGACTTTGTATTTGAGGGATAATTTGTCTCTAGACCTATGAAGTTTTGTGACTGGAGGTTACCTCTGCTCTTTGTATTTTCTGTGTAAAAGTTTATCACTTGTAAGTGTATGGGATCAACCTGGAACTGGACAGAGACCAATTTAAAATACTGAGCTCATATTGTCACTCAAGAGTGAAGAAATGTTAGACAATCATGGCATGTTTAAGCTGGTTCTTACTGAAGTATATTGGCTTTAAAAAAAAAGAAATTAGATTTTTTTTTCTTTTTCAATCTCACATTCCTATGTAATTGACCATGAAAGTGGCTCCAATGGAGAGATAAAGATTTTCAGATAAAATCATTTTACTGTAAACAAAACAACACTATTACTAAGTGAAGAACATAATCTTTGGAAATTTTTACACACATCTTCAAAACTGAACACAAACTATAAGTGCAGTGTTTTGTTGCTGTGTCCCTGAGTTCTTGAAGCACACTGGGTCCATTGCTTTTTGCTTTGGCTTTACTTCCATGAAAATCACAAGTGTGAATTTTGTGTAGTTTTATTAACCAGTGCCAAGTTACATTTACAAAACTGTATGTATATTTTGTTAAGGGTTTTTGTTAGAAAATTTACTAATTCAGTATATTAGGATCTTTCATTATACTTGCTGATATGTTTAGAAAACCATTGCTTTTTAAATTACATGTTATATGGAGGAATATCAAACAAATATGTGAAACTAAATTAAAGCAAAATAGGTTTCATTAAATCTGAAAGACAATTTAATGTTTATAAGCTATTGTCAATAATGAATACCCAAGGAGAATGTATATGACATACCTTTCCCTGGCTTTTTAGAAAACCCAAAAGATGTCAATTAAAATCTCCAAGATGTGCTTGGAAACTAGGTTTGAAAATACTAATTGCAGAAATAAAATCCATTGAGTATATGTTCCGAAATGGATTGTATAAATGTCTGAAAGAAACTTACAAATAAAAATAGTTGTAAATTCAGTGAGCTAAGTATGCAAATTAGCACTAATTTACCATTTACAATTATTACAATGTATTATGTATAGGTTTTGGTATAACTTAAAGTACCTGCATGTTTTAGCTGATGTTATAGCTTATGAAAAGAATTTAAAGTGATTTTAAAAAATGTAGAGACACACTAATGAAATTGTTAGTGTATACTTGAAAAAATGTAGTAAGATGTGAAAGGCATTAACAGTAGAACAGAGTGGTTGTCAAGAGTGAACAGCTTTTACAGTCACAGCCAGCACTGGAGAGGGAGGCTGATGAATTAATTCAGTTTCTATTGTCTTTTGCTGTTAAAGTTTTCCTCCTAATTTAGAAATATGTTTTCCTCTTTATCAGTTCTACAAAGTAAAGGTGGTAGTTAGCAAACAAGTACTACCTAAAAGTTTTTACTATCCAAAGTTCTTCCATGATGGGGAAGAAAAACACCCTGGTCACTAGGGAGGTTCTTTTTATTTTGACAGCTATAAATGCAATGTGTTACGTTTTAAGTTAGGGGTTTTGTTGGTACTGTCGCTGAAATACTATTTTTTTTGTTTGTGTTCTAGGCTTTTTTGTCCAAGGTTTTCCTAAACTCTTGAGATTTCAAGAACATCATGAAAAAATTCTGAATAAATTTCTGTCCAAACTTAAGCAACACTTGGTAGGTAGATGTGTCACTCATTTATAGCCACCTACTCTGAGAGTGAGGATGCAGTAATTAGTTAAATTCAGCCTGGGTTTCCTGTTCCTGGTTAGCTCACTGTGTAGTCATAATCCTCAATTGTTTGAAGACTACCACAGTCCTAATTCATAGGTTCAGATTACTTCTATGAAGCTGATAAATACTACTAATAAAGATTTTACAAATGTGTGATTTTTACATTATTTTTAGGCTTTAAATTGTATGCATTATAAGAAGCATAAAAATGCTTCCTTGTGAAACACATGCATGCTTTACTATAAAATATAATGGTGCAGTGAAGCAGTTCACTGCAGAATATCCTAATGATTGTGTTAAAGTCCTATTGTGGTGACACAATTCTTGTGATAATTCTTATTAGTTGAATTTGGAGACTCAAAAAAGGAATTGGAAAACAGAGAAAGTATGAAAAAAACTTGAAATGAGATGTTTATGTGCTTACCTTGACAGCTGCCTTACTATTGCTCTTTTGTTTGCTACAACTCAGAAATTATGAGATCTTTGTTTTTTAGGATTCTCACGAAATCTACACAAGTTTTTATACAATGAAATGGTTTTTTCAGTGTTTTCTTGATCGAGTAAGTACATTTTTGTAAACCTCAATTAGGAAAGTACATGCCAGGGTAAGGGAAGCACTAATGGTACATTACATTGCTTTGTTCTTTCTTGTAGACTCCCTTCACACTGACCCTCAGGATATGGGACATCTATATCTTTGAAGGAGAACGAGTTCTTACAGCTATGTCTTACACGATCTTGAAATTACACAGAAGTAAGGAAACATTTGACTGCAGAGACTTTATAATAATAAGGCTTATTTTAACTCCTACTAGCTTGGGCTCCCTCTACCTCATGCTGTTTTTTAATGGTTTTGAGAACTACTGCTAGCTTCTAAATTTTTCTTGATGATCATCAGAGAATTCCTGATTCTTGGGACTAGACACATTATATCAGGAGGTCTTGGATCCTTTCTCCTCTGTCAGTTTCATTTTCACACTTAAACAGTAGGATGCAGTTTTTCATGTCACTAATATTATTTTCTCATTGGCTTCCACTGGGACCCTTGTTCTCCCAGTTGGCCTGAGTCTCAGGTTTGTAATAAGGCAGAGAGAGCAAGAAACCAGGCCTCCTAGGTGAGTGGGCTTGGGGGAAAAAAAAAAATTGTCTGTTACTGTTTCTTTCTCTAAAAGAAAGTGCATCCACTTTCAAGCTCTGGATGGGGCTTGAGTGTCATGGCCTCTGGGGCAAGTGCATTAAGTGTCTGTCACTGCATAAATGCAGCAAGATTTTTCAAAATAAAAACAAAAGGCCTCTTAGTTTTCAGTTGCAGTGTCTCGGGGGCTCTGTGGATATGATGTGTTGGGCCTTAAAGGTCAGGAAATGAGAGTTTTTCTACTTTTTTCATTTCAACCTTAAGCCTTGTGACTCCATAGAGATGTAAGTCATGGGCATCCTAGAATTTCATGTTATGTACATGCACATTTGTGTGTACCCCACTCTCATATATCATTCTTGAATGATGTTTGGCCTTCTGACTAAGTCATAAACCACTTGAGAGCATGGGGTCAAGTGTATGGGTTGTGTCCCTGCTGTTCCTGGCCATACTCAATGCTTTCATTGAGATTGCTTGGTCACTGACTTGAACACTGAACACATCAGTGCCACATTAACCACACTTGACCTATGATGAGACCTTGCTCTCTGTGCTCTTCTAGGAAGGCTGTCAGAAATGCTGTAGTTATGGCCCAGCATATGAGCCAACACCAAAACAAGCATTAGCAACATACTTCCTTCCCAGAGTAGGGTTGTGTCATTGCAGGATGAAAGCCCTTTCTCTTTCTTCTCTTCTCCTTCTCCCTTCTTTATATCTTACTATACGTTATAAATAGATCAAAGTATACTTAAGAAGTGTATCTTAATTAAACAATAGTTTAATTGTCCCTAAACAGTGAAAAAATAGAAGTATAATGTTTCTTTATAGCTCTCATTTCCCTCTTAAATTATTTTACTTGGTATGACTATCATTTGTAAATAAACTCTGAGCATAGCAATCACTCTATTTGCCAGTTTATCATTAGACTGTTTAGGAAGCAAAGCTGTTACATCCTCAGTGAGTTTCCTGTACCGCCTTATAAAGAAATAAATGTTGAGGAACAGAGGACACAGAGATGTTGCTCTTGGGCTACAAAGTTTCGCTAGATGGCAGGACACATTTTGGAGATGTACTATGTGGATTAGTGAGCACAGTCAGTAGTTATGTATAACATACTGAAAGTTACTAAGATAGATTTTAAATGATTTCCTCACAAAAGTAAGTATGGTGGAGGATTTAATAACCACATTGGTTTAGTCATTTCACAGTAGTGACACTGTAATAAAACACTGTGTACTGTGCCAGAAGGTTTTACAGTATGTCACTTGCTAGTTTAAAAAAAATAGATAACAAAATGGAAAAAAAAAAATCTGTCTGGATATCCTAACTGCTGACCCTAATCAGGGACATTCTCCTTGCTTTACTTTTTCCTGATTGCTTTAGAACTAGTATTTCACTCAAATAAGTTAATATCCCTGCTAATAATAATTGAGAGAGAGCATTTGCATGCTTTTGAATAGAGCAAGAAATGCAAGCTCAGACAGTGTATCTTGTATTGTGAGTTGATGCCCATGCACATAACACATCTACTTGTAAGGTATGGGTAGAGACATCTTAGTGGTGTCTATTTCTACTTTACGTCTCTAGTTTGATTTTTTTTTTCTCCTAATAAAGCTCATTTCCTCAGTAGAACCAATACAAATACGGTTAGTAATCTTTTGTTTTGTTTTTTGAGGGGAATTTTCTAACCTTGTGTTTGTTAAAGAAGACTTATCAGTCTGAGTTAAAGTTCCAGCCGAGAAATGAAATAAATAAACATTTATTGAATCATAGGAACTCTTGTTGTAGGTTAGTGTTAATGCCCAGACACTTTTAAACCAATGAGAAAATATTTGATCATGTACAACTTTCTGTCTTTCCTCCTAATAAGATCAGCCTGCTTTTTCTAATGTCAAAATACCATCCTACTGGGTTTTAATGATGTTCACAATGCTAAATGTAAGTTGTGTATATATCCTTTTAATACTCTTTTAAAACTCACTGTACTCAAATAGAGTATATCTTCTTTTCAACCTAAATAGAACTGTTGACTGGCATTTGCATTTCTCTCATCCTTTCCTAGAACATCTAATGAAATTGTCTATGGAAGAACTTGTAGAATTTCTTCAGGAGACTCTGGCCAAGGACTTTTTCTTCGAGGATGATTTTGTAATAGAGCAACTTCAGGTTTCTATGTCAGAACTAAAACGGGCAAAATTAGATCTCCCAGAACCTGGTAAGAAATGTCCTGGCATCCTATTCTAGGATCAGAGGCATGACACAGTTAACACTGACTTTTTGTTATTAAGATATAAGCATTATACTTGGTGAGAGCATATATCAATTAGTGTCTTACCAGCTGCTTGTGGCTTTTCTTTCTTTTTTTTAAAAAAAATGCATGTTTTGATCATATCCATCCATCATTACCTCTTTCCAGCTCCTTCAAGTGCCCCCACTCTTTCCTCCTTTCCAACTCTGTGTCTTTTAAAAGTAGTTGTCATTAATTATCTCCTGAGTCCAATTAGTGTTGCCTAGTTTTACAAGTGTGTAAGGTCATCCCTCTGGGGGTATGGGGTGGGAGGGGTGGCTAACTATCAGCAGCCATACCCCCAAAGGAGAGCAGCTCCTCTCCTTCAGTAGCCATCAACTGCCAGTAACTCCTTTGCCAAGGGTGCGTCTATATTGGAATTTTGATTACAAAAGTTATCTTCTCTGACCAAAGTTAAGAACAGCACAGATCTGTTGTATAAACACAAATATTTAAAAGGCAATTAGGCAGCATGAGTATTTAAATAATAAGTTTGCCCTTAGGGCTTATAACCTTGGTAGTCATGGGCTTTTGACCAGATTTCTAGAACCAGGCATGAAATCCACCCTCTGGAGGTGGCCTCATACCCAATCAGAAAGTGGTTGGTTACTCCTGTAACTGTCAGGACATTATTGCAACATCGAGCACATTTTGCCCAGCAGGCCAGTATTGTAGCATGCAGGGTCTAACAATGGATAAGTACATATTTGTCTTTTCTCTTCCCATAGGCAGCATAGCATATTCTGGTATTTTGTAAGCTATCTAAAAGGGGGATAATTTCCTGTTTATCAAGGTTGATTTCTCTGTGTCCTGAAACTGAAGTATCTTCAGCAATAAGGTCTTACCATCTAGTTATGGTGTTCAACCAAGAGGAATGGTGATAGCCTGTGTTGCTATGGGTGGTTCTAGGACTTTGCTGACCAGTAACTCACAGGGAGGTATTTCGTGCCTGTCACTGAGATTTTCATTTAATAACCATGTCTTCTGGCTTTTCTTTCTCATTTTAGGAAAAATCATGTAAACATATTGATTAAATATACCTCTGTTGAAATTGAAATTTAGAAATTTGATTGACAGATTATAGCCCGTTTGGAGAGCCATAACCACAAATGCTTTTTACAATAATGGTCTTGTTTGGGAAACTGAGTACAGAGGTAGAAGAACAAGTAACACCCTTTTGTAAATGATGAAACTGATGCTTACCTATGAAGCCCTAGAACCACCAAATATATCACCAACACTGAATCCAGCTATTTCTGGCTGTAATGTAGGCCTCTATGTAGAGTGTCACAGTGTAGATAATGCATTTATATACTTACTGGAAAACATTTTATAGTACCTACCAGTAGCTTTTCTGCTGGGAACTTTGCTGTTGATTTGAATGAAAACTGAAAAGAAAGGTGTTTTTCTTACTTTGGGAGAACAGATAGGAGATCTAGGATATATACAAATTGTAGTGAATGTAAAAGGGACACTTATAGAGGTAGGTATGAGATCCACAGGGCACATCAAAAAGCTAGTGAAGAGTGAGAGGGAAAATAAAGAAAACCTAGAAAGGTGAGAGTGGCAATATTTGTCTGAAGTTTTTACTACATATTACTTGACAAGGTTGATTTCTCTTTTCTGAAAGGAGTTATTTTGACATTTTCCTTTTTCAGTGTTGTTATAGTAGATAGTGTGGTAAGGGGCTAGGAAAGTGGAAAATGTAGATGATAGATGAAAAGTGGAATCAGTTATTCATGTTAACTAGGTTTGGCATTTCTTGATCATGTACCCTGTTTGATGTTCTTGTAAGAAAGGAAGCAGACTCATATTCAGGAAGAGTTGTTTCCCCTCAGGAAGACCAAACTACTATGCTTTGACTTAACTGAGGGGTTTAATCAACACTTGAGTGCTGAGGTCATTAGAATTGACGAGAGAACACCTCCTCACAGTGGTGATTGAGTTGAGCATAGGCCTTGGGAAACTGTGGCCTTTGCTAAGTGAGGTCAGCCCTCCCTGCTCAGAATAATGATGCCTATTTTCCACTAATTTTCCCCTGTAGCAGGAAATGCACTTAGAGCAGCAATTACTATACTCTCCCTATTGTACCATTTGTTTTAAATGGTCTTGCCTACATTAAAGAGTTTAAGGCACTTTTTAATAAAAGATACATGTAAAGAAAAACATACACTATAGAACTATTTAAGATCCGCACAAGTACATGGTGAGGTAAAGTTTGAAACCCCTGTAGTAGATCATGGTGATAATTGTTTAGCACCCAATTAACAACTGATGTTTTTCAAAAGGTTACCTTGTGTCACATATGTGGTACTTTCTCATTTACTCCCTATAAAAGTAACTGTAGAGTTGTGCTCTTAATTTTATAGGAATAGCAATTATAAAATATTTTTATAACTAGTATATAAAATAGTTTCACTAGGAAGATGAGGGGTATGTGCCTGGGAGATAAAAGGAAAGGGGTGGGGAACTAGAACCAGAAACATTGTAACAGTATTCATTTTCAGAGTGTTTCTGTCCTATAACCTCCAATTGTTTTCCTCTCTCAGTAGACTACATATGGAGCAGATGTGATGTGAAATGAAATTGTATCAAGATGCTTCCATGTCATACCCATCCTTTAAACTTTTTATGTATATAGGTATTTTACTTCATGTATACTTGTGTGCCTGGTGCTCAGAGGGGCCAGGAGTGCACTGGGTCCTCTGGAACTGGAGTTGCAGACACTTGTGAGCTGCCAAGTGGACACTAGTAATCAAACATTGGTGCTCTGCCAGAGTATCCAGTGTTTTTACCTGTTGAGCCATCTTTCCATCCCCATAGCCATCCTTTTAAAAGTATAATGAATGACATTCCTTTTGGCTAATTCCATAGTACACCGAGTTGGATGCTTGCCAAGAATATAAGGCAGAATCTCACAAAACATGCTGATGTTGAAGTTTTTAATATTTTTAGTGTTGGGGTAGAGGATCCTATTCTTGTTTTGGTTAACCTCCTTGAGTTCTAAGTCTAGTATCCTTTTTACATATTTATCTCCTTGTCTGTGAGCTTTTCTGTTGACCCGTGTACACTGTCGATAGGTATGCACATACGGCTTCCCTATCTGCCCTCTGTGAGCCCTCTGTAAGGATACAGGCCCCTGACAGTTAAGGAAGACATTGGCATACTGTGTATTATAAATTCTTTACACATATATTTTTTATGGCTTATTTGTACAAATAAAGACAATATGTGAAGGTCTTCTCTCCTTCCAATATTTCTCTTGTTTGTTTGGTTGGTTGGTTGATTTTGTTGTTGTTGTTTTTGAGACAGGATTTCTCTGTATTGCTTTGGAGGTTGTCTCAAACTCACAGAGATCTGCCTGCCTCTTCGTCATGAGTGCTGGGATTAAAGGCGTGTATCACCAACACCCGGCTATTTTCATAATTTTTACATTTTTTTTTTTGATGCTTAAACCTTTTCAGTGGGTACTGATTTTTCTGATTAAGTTTTTTAAATATTTTATTTAAGTAACATTTTTTCATTTATTTTATATACTGACTGGTGTGTGTCCCCCCCATCCCCCACTCCTTCTACTCCTTCTCAGTCTCCATTCTGAAAGGAGTAGGCCTCCCATGGGCTTGAGCAGAGCATAGCACAGTCTGATTAAGTCTTAGCTCATCTAGGAATTACTTTGGTTTATTGGATAAAATACTTCCTTTTGATTATTTTCCAAACAGCCACATGGATTAACACCATTTAATACATTGTATCTTGCTGTTTTGTTCTATTGGTCTCCACTTTTACAGTCTCTACTATTACAGTGTCTCTTAGTATCAATTTTCCTTCATTGTTATCTTATTAAATTGCCAAAAATGAATCACCTAATGTTTTTAGATTTGCACTTATTTTAAAGATTGATTGTTTTGTGGAGGGAAAAAATCGTATTTTAAAAATTAGATTCTGCCGGGTGTTGATGGTGCATGTCTTTAATCCCAGCACTCGGGAGGCAGAGGCAGGCGGATCTCTGCGAGTTCGAGACCAGCCTGGTCTACAAGAGCTAGTTCCAGGACAGCCTCCAAAGCCACAGAGAAACCCTGTCTCGAAAAACCAAAAAAAAAAAAATTAGATTCTACTACAGAAAAGCTTTTTACCTTTGGTTGTACTACTATAATGAACTTTAGTTGTACCTTTTAATGAACCGTGGAAGAGTTGGTTTCCTTTTTAAGGCTGTTGCACACTTCTAGTGTACATTCTCAAGCCTCCCCATCTCCTCTTGCCCCAAAAGACAGCTGACCACCAGTGCCAAGGTATGTTGCAGACTTGACAACTCACTTGACAGCTGTGGTTGTCATCAAGTCGTGAGAGGAAAACATAGACAGAGGTAGGCTATGTTCCCCATTCTCTTGGGAGCAATGCTAGCTTTTCAATTTCTATTTTTAAAAATTTAGATTATATTTACTTATTTTATGTGGTATGGTGGGATGGCACACAGGTACAATTAAGAGAATAAATTTTGGAAGTTGGTTCTCAATTTCTACCGTGTCTGACCTGGGCTCAGCCTCAGGCCATGCAGCTTTACCCACTGAGCCGTCTCCCCAGCCCCTTTCCATTGTTGTTATAAGTTGAATCTGTTTTGTAGCTAGCAGCAGTCCTCCTGCTTCAGCCTCTCTAATAGTGGGAATGAACTGCCATGCCCAGCTTGTTTGGGTTTTAGTGCTGTTTCTGTATTCACTATGTTTGAGTGACTCTTAGAGGTTTCTAAGACTTTAGATATATTATTATATCTTCAACAAGTAATCCTTCCTTGTTCCTCTTCCTTTTTGAAGCTCAAACTAACTTTTCCAAGTTAAGAAAATATCTAGCTGGACTGGAGAGATGGCTCACCGGTTAAAGGATAGGCTTACAACCAAAAATAGAAGAAAATATCCAGCTGTTTTTAGACTGAC